ACAGACTGCTGTTGGATCAGAAGGCAAGTGTTGACATTGGCAGCTAGTGATGTCCGATGGAGAAATACTGCATTTTACAAGTACCTTTGTATATTGAACTATGTACCATATGATGCTCATTCCCACATGCATTAATGCACAAGATTTTTGTGAAGAGGAAAAGTATATATTATGGCTCTTTGGAGAAAAGGGTGAAAGAAAGTTTAATGTTACAGTATCATGTAAAAACAGATCTATAAATATATTTCTTCGTGATACATGATCGGAACAACAGTATATGAGGAGTTGGAGTGGAAGAACAGTGAGAATGGTGAAGAGATGGGCAAATAGAATCACATCTGTTTATTTCATATCTGTTACTCTGCTCTTCAATCACAAAGGGTTATCACAGCAGCACGGTCAAGCAAACAGTAAGAATGCATATACAATAAATAATTATCAGAACAATAAAACTAAATCTTAAAACTGAAGCCAAGTTACATTAAAACAATATTTTAATAATGGCATGAAAAGAATAAATTTAATTATATGTATCACTTTTGAGGATGACGTTCCAAAGAGGATGGAGTGATACCACTGAAAAGACCTTATGTTGGAGCATCAGCTTCCTGCTCCAAATGGCAGGGAAACTATGCAAGACCCCCTTAAAGAAAACCACATTTGGACAGGTTCATGAGGGAACGTGTTTTTGATGGGACATTTGATCTAAGCCCGAAGAACCTAAAAGGTCAAAACTATCACAACAAATTGGAATTGGTTTGAAATCAATTATACCAATGGTTCCCAACCCGTGGTCCGTGGACCACCAGTGGTCCCTAAGAATGAAAATATGGTCTGCAGCCTCACAATTACTACACCTTTGCCTTGAAACCACATGGCAACGAGAGCGACTGGTTTCATGAAACCCACTTATAGTGCTGAGGTAACAGGGATGTCATGAGGGGAGAGGCTGACTACCCACAAAAGATTACTACTACTACATCAGCTGTAGATTATCAAATATGGTTTTCTGTGAGTGAGCAGATGGCAACTCCTGGATGGCATATGTTCTGTATCAGAAACTAGAGCTGATGTAGTCTATCCAATGCAATTTTCTGAATTGGCACCCTAAATTACCAAACTGAATCTATAGTTGACCAAAAACTGATTCATAACCTTTTTGGTACTAATGTAGGATAGTGGTTCCTGATCAAAGTGATCCCTGGTCAAAAAAAAGGTTAGGAACCACTGGACTATACAGAAGAGATAACAAACAGCAGAGTATATTCAGCACATATAAATAGGTCATGCAGGGCCTGAATTTTTGTTATAAACCTTCTAACACATGGTCCTATCTTTAATCATGCTCTGTTGAAGAACTACATCATAGCATCCACCTCACTAGATGTAATACAGTTACTCCATCTCAGCCTATTAGAAGCATCTGCAGTGGATTTCTCATTCAAATCTGCAATGCAAAGCACAGGTTCAGTTTTTAGATATATTTTCTGAACTATTATTATTATTATTATTATTTATTAAACTTTATTTGTACCCCACTAGCATCTCCCGAAGGACTCGATGTGGCTTACATAGGCCAAGGCCTCAAAACACAACACAACAATACAACACCTAAAGCAAATTAAAAACAGTTAAGCAATATTAACAAGAAGCAATAAACAAAACATCAAGACACTATAAAACTGGGCCGGGCCAGAGTAATGGGTACAAGATTAAAAATGCGGATGTGGCAGGAGGTATGTAGGATTATAAGGAAGTGCAGTGTGCGGTGTGCAGCAATCTTAGTTCTACTAAAGTGCTTCTGGGACTTGGTATTGAACTATCACTTTTGCCATGGGATTGAAGGAGAATGGCAGCTCTCTGCGCTCTGCTTATTATTTCTTTATGAAAGTGAATAACCAAAAAATCCAGCTGCTTCTTTTACTCCTTGTCCTGTTCCACCTCTACTGCTATAAGAAGCCAATCATGTTGACCAAAACACACACGATTTTGCTAGTTTCAAGTTTCTCTGTGAGGGGAAAATAAAATATGTAAGCACTTCCAAGCAGGTGTAGATTATTAAATAACTATCATACGCTGGCTCTACACCAGTCCTTTAAATCCTGCCATCTGGACGTTTGCAGATTTTGCGATGGACGATCATATAGATATACCTATAGCAGTTACTTTGTTCCATTCAGTATATTCCAGACTGTTGCCTCCAGATGTCATACTATAATTCCATGATTGTAATCCAACAGATCTGAAGGACACTGCTTTAGGAAATACTGTATGTTCTTGGCTCTCTATATAATCTAACAATGTTTTGGACATTCAGTCCAAGGTTTAGCTGAGTTTTTAGCTGACCTTTGCTTCTAATTTTCTGTCTTGCTTTCCTGCCTCTAGGTTTGGGAAGTAGCTGAGCCATACATTGAAAAGTACAGAAGGGAGCACATTCCAGAATCCAGACCCATTTCCCCTACTGCTTTTTCTTTAGCAGCAGCCAAAAATACTTTACGCCATCACCACAGCGATTCAGAAGAATATGATGAACCGTGAAAACAGTTGTAAATGGACTTCAGTACTTTAGTTGTTGAATAACTTTACTTTAAACAATTCTCGTACTTTATGCTTAATTCCAAAGGCATAAAAGAACCAAGTCCAATATCAGAAGTCTGCATAGCCATTGAAAACGTTTTTTGTTACTTTGAATTGTTTTCACAGTGTGTTGACTTTGGATAAAAAAAAAAAAGATCAAAGCATGTATTTACCTCAAACAGGGTGGATGGGAATGACAGCCTGTGTAGATATAACTTGTTTTGTGACTACAAGTGTGACCACAAAATTAGCAAATTCAGTTTATAAAAATAATAAAGATAACCTTGTAATTTTAGAGGATTCTTCCTCAGTCTTTTCAATTATCTAGTGACAAATTCTGCAGTGTGTGGTTATTTATTTATTTATCGTATCAGGAGCAAACCAAGGGCACCGCTATAATGTATTTAAAAAGCACAACGTTTTTTAAAAAAACTTGGCATTATATTAAATGGCCTTTGCCCAGAAGCTGGCCACTTGGAGTGCTTCTGGTGTTGCTATAAGAAAGTCCTCCATTCTGCATATGGCAGGGCTCAGACTGCATTGTAATAGGTGGTCTGTGGTTTGCTCTTCTCCACACTCACATGTCGTGGACTTCACTTTGTAGCCCCATTTCTTAAGGTTAGCTCTGCATCTGTTCAGCACCTTCCAAGTCGCCCAGTCTTCTATGTGCTCAGAGGGGAGTTTCTCATACAGTATCAGCCACTGATTGAGGTTCTGGGTTTTAGCCTGCCACTTGCTGAGGTGTTCCTGCGAGTATCTCTGTAGATTTTAGAAAACTATTTCTTGATTTAAGGCATTGGTGTGCTGGCTGATATCTTAACCGAGGATGGGCTGGATATGTCACTGCCTTGGTCCTTTCATTATTGGCTGCTACTTCCCAGCAGATGTCAGGTGGTGCGATACTGGCTAAACAGTATGATTTCTCCAGTGGTGTAGGGCATAGACATCCTGTGATAATGTGGCATGTCTCATTAAGAGCCACATCCACTGTTCTAGCATGGTGAGATGTGTTCCATACTGGGCATGTGTACTCAGCATGTCCAGGGTTGATCTTATAAAATGGGGTTGATCTTATAGAATGAAAGTGCAATACACTATACTCTTTCATGTAGACTTGTAGTTCTATATAATTCTGTGGAATTGCAGCCAGCCCACATATTCAAACTGCAATACAGCAGAAGTGGAGCTCCGGAAACAAGACAGGAAGCAGTAGGGTAGAACCAAGGATGGATTATATATGGTGCAGTTGAAGCCAATTCTGCAAGGCATAATGCACTTGGCACCACTGCACACATCCATAAACTTATTTCACTGTGGTGCTGTTAAAAAAGGAGTTCTCTTGCAAGCGGATCCTCTCCTAGTAGTGTTTGCTATGCACCCAGACCCCATTTTCAGTTGCAGAGAAAATGAAGCAGTAGATGGCATGCAGAGACTTCTTCTGAGACTGTCGCTTCAGCCTTGTGACATAGAACCCAGGCTCAAAGCCATCTTAAACCCCAGAAGGGCTATTTACACATAGTTGTCTATGTGCATATGAATTTGGAGCTGCTCCAGAACCCCAAAAATACTTGGATAGTGTACATAACTTTGAGTTTTTGGAAACAAATTGAATAATTTGGCCAAAAATATAGGCAGACCTAAAGGGGCTAAATACCCTACAGGCATCAGATCCTACCTGAATTTGAGAGCCGAGCCAAGTCAGCCATAGTTAGTTTTTGGATAGGAGACCAGGTGCTGTGAGCTATATTTCAGAGGAAGGAAGTGGAAACACCTGTAAGTAAGCCCTATGGAAGAATTCGTGGAGTCACCATAGGCCAACAGCTAACATGAAGGCACACACACAGTTTTAGAAAGAGATTAGAGCAGTGGTTCTCAACCTGTGGGTCCCCAGATGTTTTGGTCTTCAACTCCCAGAAATCCCAACAGCTGGTAAACTGGCTGGGATTTCTGGGAGTTGTAGGCCAAAACACCTGGGGACCCAGAGGTTGAGAACCACTGGGTTAGAGGCTTAACCCAGAGGGTGTGGAAACTGAGACAGTGCCTGTCCAATAACTTCAAACAGATTCAGGGTTTTTAGAGAGAATACTGCAAGCCAGTATCACCATCCCTAAAAACTGGAACAATGTCACCAGCAAGGAGATTTTAGGGCCCAGGAAAATGGTTCAAACTACAAACCTGATGGACTGCCATATGAAGTCACGTACAAAAAGGAGCACAGGGAAGGCCTACAGTATGGACTTTTCATGTACAGTTTAGATCTTCAAATGAATGGAGCCTGGACCAGTTGTTCCTTTAGCCACATCCTAGGCATTGGACTGCCATCAGGAGGGACAAAGATCCGGAAAACATCTCATTAGGTCAGTACTACTGGCTGAAAACTCCATTCCTGTCTACTTTATTAAAATGAAAACATAGAGGATTCATTATTTATTTATTTATTTATTTATTCCCCTGCTTTTCTCCTGAATAGGATTCAAAGCCACTTATAGCATAATTTGAAACATACATATAAATGTTGATTTCACAGCTTTCCCCGAAAGTGTCAGGAAGATTATTAAAAGCATTTCACATGCAAGAATATGTACAAGAAAAAGCAAGCTCAAAGTCAGGAAAAGCCTAGAACAGAATTACTCAACCTGGGGATAAGAACCCCTGGGGGTGGGGTCGCAAGGAGGTGTCAGAGGGGTTGCCGAAGACTATCAGAAAACAGTTTTTTCTATTGGTCACAGGGGTTCTGTGTGAGAACTTTGGCCCAATTCTACTGTTGGTGGGGTTCAGAATGCTCTTTGATTGTAGGTGAACTATAAATCCCAGCAACTACAAGTCCCAAATGTCAAGGTCTATTTTCCCCAAACTCCGCCCATGTTCACATTTGGGCATATTGAGTATTTGTGCCAAGTTTGGTCCAGATCTATCATTGTTTGAGTCCACAGTGCTCTCTGGATGTAGGTTTGTGTAGGAAGTTTGGTCTAATTCTATAGTTGGTATTCAGAATGCTCTTTGATTGTAGATTGACTATAAATCCCAGCAACTACAACTCCCAAAGGTCAAGGTCTTTCCCCCAATGTTCACATTTGGGCATATTGAGTATTCGTGCCAAGTTTGGTCCAGATCTATCATTGTTTGAGTCCACAGTGCTCTCTGGATGTAGGTGAACTACAACTCCAAAACACAAGGTCAATGCCACCAAGTCCTTCCAGTATTTTCTGTTGGTTATGGGAGATCTGTGTGCTAAATTTGGTTCAATTCCATCACTGGTGGATTTCAGAATGCTCTTTGTAGGTGAACAATAAATCCCAGCACCTACAATTCCCAAGTGAAAAAAATCAGTTCCCCCCTCCCAATCCCACCAGTATTCAAATTTAGGCACATTGGGGATTTGTGCCAAATTTGGTCCAGTGAATGAAAATGCATCCTGTGTATCCGATATTTACATTATGATTCATAGCAGTAGCAAAATTACAGTTATCAAGTAGCAACAAAAATAATGTTATGTTGGGGGTCACCACAACATGAGGAACTGTATTAGGAAGCTTGAGAACCACTGGTCTAGAACTTTATAGCAAGCACATATATTGCATACAGCTTTCATATAGACATGAGATTCAGGGTAATTTGCCTATGTGTCCATTAGAGCTTCTGGCAACTGTTGTACTGGATATTGCGAGAAGTATTTAGAAGTCCAAAATGCTGTCATTTTTATAGACAACATTTCCTTTTACAATGACATATTCAACCACCTCTTGATGGCCACCAAACTGGTAGATCAAATGTTCCCATCTAGAGATAATAAAAGAAACACACAAGTAATCATCCCTTTAAAGCATCTAATAAACTAGGAAGTTGAAGAGCCAAGCTACATTATCAATCGAGTCCCCATCTACACTGCCATATAATCCAGTTTCTAAATCCAGATTATCTGCCTTGAACTATGTAGTGTAGACACATATAATCCAGTTCAGTGTAAATAATCTGGATTCTGAAACTGGATTATATGGCAGTATAAATCCTGCTAAAGTCAGGTAAAGGGGAATATTAAAGATTCCCCATTTATTTCAATATAAATAATCCCTCTTTGTTGTTGCATTGTGTGCCTTCAAGACTTTCCCAATTTATGACAATCCTGTCGTGGAAAGACTTGTTTATAGAGCATTTGCCTTTGTTTAAGGCTATGAGAGTGTGACTTGCCCAAGGTCCCTACTGTGGTGTAATGTAAAATAAAGCACATATAGTTCAAACTTGATCAGCCCACACACTGACTTGCTAGAGAAAGAAAATATACCACGCAGGTGAACAGTAAAGAACAAGTAGTTTACTTTTCGTAATTCAGAACAACATATATCCAGTGTGATCAGTTGCATCAACTCACATAATGTCCTTTTATCAGAGATTTAAAATGGTCTTTCTCTGTCCATATGGATAAATTCCTTCATCCGCTCATGAAAAAAGAGCACACTCCAAACTCTCTCCCCTCCCCCCTTCTCTCTGTTTCTCTCTCTGCACCTGCATAGCTCAGGCCTGAACAAAAATGTAACAGCATCCAAAAGTCCCAGGCTCAGCTTGCTCCCCAAGCACTGCCCGACCAATCAGCTTCATGCATCTTATTGTACAGTTGACACACTCATATTCACTGATTCCTTGCATACTCCAACATCTACTTCATGGAAAGCCTGCAGGGCAACCTTAGGCAAGTCATATTCTCTCAGCCTCAGAGGAGGACCATGGCAAACACCCTCCAAACAAAACTTGGTAATAAAAAACACGTGTGTATATGTTTGTGTGTGTGTCTAATATGAATTTATTTATCTAAAGAGGATGGGGAATTAAAATGCATCATGCTCTTAAGAGCTATTTTCATGGTTTAATTCCTACAAGGCAGCTTAAAGCTTGTTTTACATTGACAATTTCAAAGTTACGCATAGTATTAGGTTTTACAACATAGTTTTCAAAAACAAGGGAGGAGTATGTATTTAATGATTTCAATTGGTATAGTATTATGGCTACTTTGCAGCTGAGGGGGGAAAGGAAAGGACCTGAGGCTGTTAGGAATTGTGGGAGTTGAAGTCTAAAACATCTGGAGGGTTCAAGTTTGCCCATGCCTCTTATAAAGAAATAACATAAACATTTTGTGCACAGTAACAAACTTTTATTTGAAACATTGGTTCCAAATAAACGTTTTCTGAACGAAATACTATTTCAGTTGCAATGCTTTTATCTGACATAGCAGAATGAGAGTTAATAAGTCTAGGCAGCATGAACTGCATTAAAATATTAAATGTAAATCAAAGAGTGGGGTGTTTTCTTTTGAGGTTCTGACTAAAATAATCTGAACTTGGTGAAAATTCAAAGTAGAAATTGTTAAGGCATGTAAAAAGAATCAGTTTGTGAGTGTGTTAACTGAAAATGTAAAGCACGAAGCTGATTGATTGGGCTGCATCCAAGAGACTATCTGAGCCTGGGAGTTTTGGCAACAGTTACATTTTAGGCTTTAGCTGTGCAGGAGCTAGCAGAGAGACAGTTTGAGTTCTTGCTTCATGAGTTGCTGGAAGAAGATTTCCCACATGGACAACTAAAGACCATTTGAATTTCTCTCAAAGGGCACTGTGTGGGTCAATGCAACTGTTCACATGACTGTATAGACGTTTCCCTGCATTACAAAGAGTAAACTCCTTGTTCTTTAGCAATCATCTAAATGGCATGTATTTCTTTCTCTGGCAAGATAGTGTGTGGACTGGTAAAACGTGAACTACGTTTTTATTTTACCACAGAAATGACCCAAAAACCTTTTTCTGGATATTGCAATCCAAATAAGAATTACTTATTTAATTTACTCTGAATGCAGAATCACACTGCTTAGGCTTTCATATACTTACTTGGGTGAGTTTATGATGAGGAGATCTCCTTGTTTGCCAATTTCTATGGAGCCATGCGAGTGTGATTTTCCAAGAGCATAAGCTGCATTGATAGTGGCAGCTGCTAAAGCTTCTTTCATTGACATCTTCATGTTTACACAGGCCAAATGCATCACCATGGGCTAACAAATGAGGGAAAGTAATATCCAAATTTACTACATGAGTAAATAAAACATAAATGAATCTCTTATATTTTGGGACCTTCTGAGTCTTCTAGCTCATAAGTGAGAGGAGTTTGTTTCAGAGAATATGGCTTCAACTGTCTTTGAAGAAAATCAGAGTTGTCTTCAGCCATTGGAAAGCAGAAATACACTTGAGAAGCATCTCTTTCAAAGAGATTACTATATGACTACTGGGCTTTAATGGTTTGATAAGTAATACATTCCATACATAACTGAATTCATAGGTTTTTTGTTTGAGAAACTGCAAGTCACTTCTGGTGTGAGAGAATTGGTTGTCTGCAAGGACGTTGCCCAAGGTACGTCCAGATGTTTTACCATCCTGTGGGAGGCTACTCTCATGTTCCCACATGAGAAGCTGGAGCTGACAGATGGGAGTTCACCCTGCTCCTCGGATTTGAACTGCCAACTTTTTGGTCAGCAGTCCTGCTGGCACAAGGGTTTAATTCATTGCGCCACTGGGGGCTCCTATTGATTTCATGTGGTATACTATTATAGAAAATGAAATGGGATTGTTACCAATTTCCAAGGACTCAATAATCAAAGTAATCAATATCCCAGCTTTTCAGAACTTTGCAATTATATAAACAGTAACTGCCTTGTGTCTGAAAACTGTCACACACAAAGAAGTCTTACCATGGAACAACAATAAGCATTGGGGTTAAAATCACTGCCAAGAGCAACAATCACTCCTTCTTCTAACATTTTTCTAGCTTGAGGTTGTTTTAATCTAAAAAAAGAAAAAAAAGATCATCAAATATTACCATTTAAATAACAGCGGAAGACATTGAGCCCTCTCAAAAAGACAAAATAAAGATTAAATTTGAATATTGGAAAAGGAAGGCACTTTTTAGACCACCTACACATAAGATCCCTGAAGATCCAGTGTAGCAAGTATATTTTGTTTGCATGCCTTAATAACGGCAAATGTTTCATTGGAAATTACAGGACTAAAAATGGCTTATCAAAATGAAGTATCATACCCTGTTAAATTGTGGAAATGTTACAATATTCAATTGTACACTCTCAGATTCACAAGGGTGCTGCCAGAGATTTACAATTCGGATAATTTATTAGGAGCACAGTCCAGGAAAGCTTAAAAAGGTAAAAGTAAAGGTAAAAGTTTTCCTCCACCATTAAGTCTAGTTGTGTCCAACTCTGGGGGTTGGTGCTCATCTCCATTTCTAAGCCAAAGAGCCAGCGTTGTCCGTAGACACCTCCAAGGTCATGTAGCCAGCATGACTGCATGGAGCACCATTACCTTCCCATTGAAGCAGTACCTATTGATCTACTCATATTCATCTAGTACAAGCATGGGCAAACTTTAATCCAGCTGATGTTTAGAATTTCAACTCCCACAATTCCTAACACCCTCAGGCTCTTTCCTTTTCAAACTGATAGGCTGGCAGAAGCTGTGGCTAACAATAGGAGCTCACCCCATCCACAGATTCAAACTGCCGACCTTCCGATCAGCAAGTTCAGCTTAGCGGTTTAACCCGCTGTGCCACCATGGCTAAGCTGATGGAACGCTTAACTGCAGCTAAATCCAGCTAAAAGCAATTGAAAGATGCTCTATACAAGTTCATACATTCATCCAGGAACAGAGTTTCATTATGGGCTTAGTACTCTTTATCAAAAATGCTTGAGACCAGAAGTGTTTTGGATTTCAGAGTTCTTTTATTTTGGAATACCCATATTTGCATAATAAGCTATTTTGGAGATGAGATCAAAGTTGAAACATGAAATACATTTGTTTCATATATACCTTATACACTTGAAGGTAATTTTATATATATGATATTTTAAATACTTTTGTGCGTGAAACAAAGATTGTGCACATGGAACCATCAGAAAGCAAAGATGTCCCTATCTCATCCACTCAATTTTGTTGTATTTCGGAATTCTGGATAAGGGATGCTTAACTTGTATTATGGTGGAGGAACAACACTTATCTCCCCCAAAATATATTATATGCACCCCAGTATGAACAACAGAATAACAAATAACAATCTCATGCATTTTAAAATTACAGTTACCTCAGAATATAGGCAGTGGTTGGTAACAGGACAGCTGCACATTTTGCCCTGGCCATTGCAGTAATACCTTCATTGCTGATTTCTTCTAAGTGGCTTACAGCTTGAGCTCCCAGTTCAGCTCCAAGCTAAACAGAAGGCAAAGCAAAGTTTGAAGTAAAAGTTATGAGCAGACAACGGATAAAAAGTTCTTAAAGGCAAGGTGACTTGCTAGCATTTAGGGTTTTTTTTTTAAAGACTGGTTTTAAACAGAGCTTGCTGAATTCTTTTTTTTTTCCAGACTACAGCTTCAAGAACTGGCTGACGAATTCTTTCAGTTTTAGTCCCAACATTTTCTCCTATTCATTGGAAGGCAATTTACCACATAGTATGCATTCTGGAGAGAGCTAAATATTCTAAATAATAATATACTTTATTTATATTCCACTCTATCTCCCCAAGGGAACTCAGGGCAGATTACACGTACATATATGGCAAACATTCAATGCCATTATACAATCGACAAAGAAAGACAGTACATAAACAGAGGTAAGGCTTCCCTCTTTTCATCTCCAGCATTCGGCTGTGCTTGACTCGGTCATGGGGAGGTGCTGTTGTTTCATTTTCCACACCGAGGAGTCTATCGTTCATGGATGGCTTTCCTGGTCGGATTTTGGTCAGCATGTTTTTTCAGGGTGCCCTTTACCTCCCCGCCAAAGCAGTATCTATTTATCTACATACATTGTTGTTTTCTAACAGTTTTGTGAGAAGAAGTTGGGCTGACAGCGGGAGATCACCCTGACCAGGGCTTGAACTGCCAACCTTCTATAGCAGGTGGTTTAACTCGCTGTGCTAGCTTGGCCCTAAAGCAACAGTTCCCAACCTTTGGTCCTCTAGGTGTTTTGGACTTCAGCTCCCACAATTCCTAACAGCTGGTAAGTTGGCTGGGATTTCTGGGAGTTGAAGTCCAAAACACCTCAAGGACCAAAGGTTGGGAACCAATGCAAAAGCACCAGATCCCTGACTGATCTTGGCTTCTAAACAGTGTTAGCTCTTGATAGTACTTGGATGGGAAATTGACAATGGGGACCAGGTGCTATAGGCTATATTTCAGAGGAAAAAACAGGAAAAACCATTGCTATGTATTCCCTACCTAACAGAACCTTGTATAAAATTCATAAGGTAACCCTGTATCAACAGGTGACTTGAAGTGCATACACAGATATATGCTAAGTATTTGAAAAAAAATACTTAAATAATAGTTGATCACAGAAATTGAAAACAATGTGTTATAGGATGTGTGCAGAAACTGATACAAACAATTACTGATTATATCTGTATATCACAGCCTGTAGGCCGTCAGGAATTGTGGGAGCTGAAGTCCTAAACAACTGGAGAGCCAAACTTTGCCCATGCCTGGTCTAGATTCAGACACTATTTGACCTTTCTCTGCATGACCAGAAATGATATAGAACCATTTTTGTCTGTTTTGTGGATAACACAGGACAGACAAAAGTCCACTTGGTGGGCTGTGTAGAATAGTGGAGGACTATATTTGCATGATCAGACACAAGCTAAAGACCTCATCAGACATCTTTATGGCTCCATTTTCATGGACTGCGGAAACGGAGCCCTGCAGGAAACCCATGGAGGTCATTGCATGATGTAAGGTCACTTCTGGTGGGACTCCATGGGTCTCTCTTTCCGCAGCCCACAGAAATGGAGCCCTAAAGCCAACTTCTGTAATTGGGCATTTCTCAATTCCAAATGGCTTAAAATGGGGAAAGATGAGGAGAAAATAGGAAAAGGCCCTGGGATGGCTGGCCACCCAAGAAGATGGGGAAAGACCATAGAAAATTAAGGAGGATGGTCACCTCCACTTTTTCTTGCTTTCTCCCCGCCTGCCTTATGAGACTTAAGCTTGATCTTATCACACTAACATCCTTTTTTTTTTGGTCGTGTCAGGAGCGACTTGAGAAACTGCAAGTCACTTCTGGTGTGAGAGAATTGGCCGTCTGCAAGGACATTGCCCAGGGGACGCCCAGATGATTTGATCATCCTTTTGGGAGGCTTCTCTCATGTCCCTGCATGAGGAACTGGAACTGATAGAGGGAACTCATCTGCCTCTCCCCGGATTTGAACCTGCGACCTGTAGGTCTTTAGTTCTGCTGGCACAAGGGTTTAACCCACTGCGCCACCGGGGGCTCCACACTAACACCTGCAATGGGAATAAAACAGTCCTCTTGGTATTGCTGAGTGGCAACTCCCAGCATTCCCCGCCAGTATTTATGCTGGCCTGGCTGCTAGGACCTCCAGTGTAAAAACATCTGAAAGCATGCTTGATGTCTACACCCTGCTTTACAGACTAGCTAATCTTATTTCATTTTTTTTTGTTTCATACTTGCTTTGCTTGACTTTGTATTTGATGACAGATTTTTCCACCCCCTTTCTCTGTGAAACACAAAGAGCTACAAGGAAGAATATTTTTATAATAAATTATTCTACTAATGGGACATTAAAAGGGGGGAAATATACTTTAATCTTTCCCAACACTCCTTTGGAATTGCAATTCAGTTGTGATTAAACACTGAAAAAATACTACAGAAATTAGTATTTGTAGATAACACAACACCTAATGGTAATAACATGATTTGAAATGTACTAATAGTGCAGAAACAGGAAAGGGTCACCAAAGTCCATCTTTTGATTTTACAAAAAAAGATAAGCAAAGTCAATGTTTGAAAGGAAAGCAAGATGCAATCAGCAAAGGTTAGAAAGTCCAGCTTTCCTAGAAACAGACATTTTATTTTGGACAATAGCTTCCAGAATCCTCCAACCAGAATGAAGACCATGCTGACCAAGGGATACTGAAGTTATTTATATCTATATATATAATAGAAGTGAAAATATATCTATGCATGCATATATCTATGTTTGTATGTGGTTTCCAAGACTGTGACCCCAACAATGACGGGATACTGTAAAGGTTTGGAAAGAGATTGACCTTGGATTTTGGGAGTTATAGTTCACTCCGCATCCAGAGTGCCCTGTGATTCCCACTATTGATGGGTCTAAATCAAACTTGGCACAAATACTCAGCACAACCATCTCTGAATACTGGCTAAGTGTGGGGGGAATTGATCTTGGATGCTGGGAGTTAAAGTTCCACATTGAGCGAGTACTCTGAGCCCAGCCAACAATGGATCTGAACCAAACTTGGCACACATATCCACCATGGTCAACTTTAACTACTGGTGTGGTTTGGGAACAATGAAAGATGGTGATGGGGGTTGTAGTTTACCCACATTTTAATACATTTTCTAATGGATCCATTCTTAAAATCCAAAGTCCAACAATGAATAATTACAATGTTTTTTGGAAGGCGCTGAACAGACTGCGCTCTGGCACCACGAGATGCAGAGCCAACCTTCAGAAATGGGGCTACAAAGTGAAATCCTCGACATGTGAGTGTGGAGAGGAGCAAACCACTAACCACCTGCTGCAATGCAACCTGAACCCTGCTACATGCACAATGGAGGACCTTCTTGCAGCAACACCAGAAGCACTCCAAGTGGCCAGATACTGGTCAAAGGACATCTAATCAACTACCAAACGCACAAATTTTGTATTTTGTGTTTTGTATTTTTGTATTTTGTCTGTTTGTTTGCTTTGTTCTGCCAGAAATGTAACATAATTGACTGGTTGCTGATGACTCGATAAAGAAAAATAAATAAAATCTTTGCAAAAGACCTAACCCGATCATCGTTAAGTTCCTAAGTTAGTGATCCATAAAAGTAACCTTTCTAGGTTCCGAGCATTTGAACTCATCCACCTTTTGTGTTACTTGTTACTTTTTCTTGTAGCTAACTGAAAGTGTTAGAAGAAGTCCTATGGCCCATCATGTCCAACCATCTACTCAGTGTAAGATCTCCAGCAACAGCATCCTCAGCAGATAGCTGTCCAGCCTCATTCCCCCAAAGGAGCATTCAAAAATGAATGGGTGTCCCATTCCCCCTTCCCCTTTAAGAAATACCTCAGCGCTCTTCATTGGATGCAATTCATCTCCATGGAAGTTAATCTGTAATCCCATATCTTTCCCAGCCTGCAGAATTTTTCTAGTGGAATTCAGATCAAAGACACCCTTTTCGCAGAAAACATCGATATTGTCAACATGTATTCCTCCATTAAGTTCAAGCTCCTTCAGTTTAGGGAGGTGGAAGTTGATAATGTCATCAGCCACTTCAGTGGCAGTTTTACCCCTATAGAAATGGAAAATGTGACAAAATCATAACATTAATCTAATCTAATCCGATTCAAGGAAAACATTACAGGGTCTGGAATAATAACATTACTGAGTTGTTGTAGGTTTTTCAGGCTGCCATAGATGCAGGCAAAATGTCAGGAGAGAATACTTCTAGAACATGGCCATACAGCCCGAAAAACCTACAAAAACCCAGTGACTCTGGCCATGAACACCTTCCACAAATACATATACCATTACTGGATCTGGAATAATTCCAATCCCTGGTAGTGATACTTCTGAATCATAATGTTTTTTTAAAGAACTACAATTTCAAGTATCCCTCAGCCAGAATGCCAACCAGTATGGAAGTTCTACTCCAAATAGTTAATTTTCAGAGGTTTTTCTTTCTTTTTCCTTTCTTTTGTTTTTGGTGACTATAAAAAGAACAACCCAGTGACCCATACAATTTTTATATGCACATTAAAAACATAAACATGTTATAGACCCCACCAAGAAAGAAGTTTATTTATATTACTTGGGAACTGAGTGGGCACCACAGTAAGTGGACGAAATACCAATGTCCAGTTCCCTCCTGGCTCGCTCAATCACTCGAAGCATCTTGATCTCAGTCTCAAGGATTAGGCCATATCCACTTTTGCATTCGACCAAAGTAGTGCCAGCTCTCATCATCCGCAGCAGTCGCTGTTTGAAACTCTGGAAGAGCTCATCTTCGGGGGCTTCCTGAGTATGCTTCACGGTGAAATGTATTCCCCCTCCAACTTGATGAATATCCATATAGGAAGCTCCTGCCAACTGAAAGGAGAAGGAACTGCTCAAACACCTGCCATTGGGCAAACTACACCTCATAAATCAGCTGCAAGGAATGAAGTCCGGGAGTGCATCCACACTGTAGAACTAAAGCAGTTTGACACCACTTTAACTGTAATGGATTGATGCTATGGAATCCTTGGAAGTACAATTTTGCAAGGTCTTTAACCTTCCTTGCCGAAAGGTGCTGGTGCCTCATCAAATGATAACTCCCAGGATTCCACAGCACTGAGCCAAGACAGTTAAAAGTGGTGTCAAACTGCATTAATTCTACAATGTGGATACACTCTGGGTCTCCTGTGGTTAATTTTCAAGGACCTCCAGAGGGCTTAATTTAATTATCGACATTCCCCATACAGTTTAGGTCAACAGTTAAAACAGAAGCAATTATACTATCAAAAAATTTAAAGCAGTTGAAAACATAAATAATTTAAAAAATCACACCATATAAAGTCTGTTTCTCCTAAAAAATAGTTTTCAAAGACCCGCTGAAATAATAATAAACCCTGGAAAGTCATTATTAATTCTACTTCTTCTATGTTCCTTAGTGTCTGAAGTTGTCCATTCTCTGTTGTTCTGTACACTATATGTAATGCTACAATATTTGTACTTTTCAAAAGCATGCTCTTATGGAAACAAAAGTTAGATGTGAGCAAAAAAATTATACCAAACACTCAAAATAGATATGCAAGTTTACCTTCATCGAAAACTCATGAACCCTGTCACCAGCCCATACAGGGTGTGTGTGTGCATCGACCAGACCTGATTCAAAGGAAACACAAAAATACAGTCATTATGCATGACTTGGATATTTCTATTATATTTCCTAGCATCAAGGAATATATTGCCAATTTTTTGAAATCAATGTTTTTGTCAGAAAGGATGAAATAGGTCTATCATGTCAAGTGCACTTTACTCTATAGTCTGGCAAATACGCACATTGTTGGAATGGAAGTGATACATATATCATTTGCAATTTCAGATAAATGATGGGTTTTTTTAAATGCAATTTATGTAACCTTTATAGTGATGATAAAAATTGCTAGGATACTGATGTGCACAGACATATCTGCAACTACATACTGATTTTCTCCTCATTCTTTTGGGGGGAAATCGCTTTCAACACATTCTGAATGTGTATCTCATATGTAAAGGAAAAGCTTCTGGTTCCAAATATTTCTGAATGGGAGAATGGAGATTTTGTTAAAATGTCTTTAGAAATGTCCTTGACATAATTCAAGTCATCCAGAGGGTCAGCATCCTTGTGATGGGATGTCCATGTATTATTTTATTTACTCTGTGCCTTTAAAAGCTACCCAACACCCAAAATTGGGTGTGGGTGGAGGTGGGTGGGTTAGCTTATGAATGTGGAATGACTGGAAAACAAGTTAAACATGAGCCAACAATGTCATGCGACAGCTTAAAAAGCCAATAGGATTTTGGCCTGCATAAATAGGAGTATAGTGTCTAGATCCAGGGAAGTTATGCTACCCCTCTATTCTGCCTTGGTCAGATCACACCTGGAATCACACTGTGACCACAATTGAAAGGAGATGTTGCCAAGCCGGAATGTGTCCAGAGGAGGGCGACTGAAATGATCAAGGGTCTGGAGAACAAGCCCTATGAGGAGTGGCTTAACAAGCTGGGCATGTTTAGCCTGTAGAAGAGAAGCCGAGAGGAGACATGATAGTCATGTATAACTACGTGAAGGGAAGTCACAGGGAGGAGGGAGCAGGCTTGCTTTCTGCTGCCCTGGAGACTAGGCTGCAGAGCAATGTCTTCGAACTACAGGAAAGGAGAGTCCACCTGAACATTAGGAAGAACTTCTTAACTGTGAGAGCTGTTCAGCAGTGGAACTCTGTGCCTCAGAGTGTGGTGGAGGCTCATTCTTTGGGGGCTTTTAAACAGAGCTTGATGGTCATATGTTGGGGATGCTTTAATTGTGATTTTCCTGCTTCTTGGCAGGGTGTTGGACTGGATGGCCCCCAAGGTCTCTTCCAACTCACTGATTCTATGATTCTATAAGTTTTCTCTGCTGCTTGCTAATAGAAAAAGCTTGATATATTTCATTTGCTTGAATTTATTACACCTATAGGGACAGGATCAGTGGCCAGGTGATTGGACTAGATGACCTTTGTGATGTCTTCCAATTCCATATAATTTTATGACTCTAGCTTAGAGGGAGCCATTAATTTTCATTCAAAGTGGAAATAATTCAGAATACATTTGGACAATTGAAAGTCTCTGCATATTTCTGTTTTGTGCAATAAAGTCTAGCAAATATACCCACCTGGTAAAATGCACTTTCCTGAACAGTCAATTGTTTTTTCAAAAGATGCTCCTGAAAATTGCTTGCGAATGGTCTTTGCATCACCAGCTGCCTTTATACAGCCATCTCTGCAAGCAAACAACCATCCTCACATTAGTTACAAACAAAAAGAGACAAAATTTCAACCTTTTGTATCCTAATTCTAAACAGTTTTCTTGCTTATCTATTGAAGTACAATACAACTGATGCATTAAATGAGTACTTTAGCTGGGTTGTTTAAGAAAAAAATAAACAAATTGAGTTGAATCTACACAGGAACTGTAATTCAATTTGGAGGTGGATTAAAATGAATGGATTTCACTGTGCAATGCCTACACAAACACTCCAGGAACCGGTTCAAGGCTGGGACAGTGGCCACAGTATCTGCAGATTGCAGACTGCAACCAAACCATAGTTTTTTCTCTTACCCAATCCACTGAGATGCGCTTATGCGCATATCCATGACTATTTCGGATCAATGCTGTATTATAGCAGGGCATAGGAAATGAGAACGAAGATGCGGCAAATGAGAATCCCCATGAGAATGATGGAGTTTCTTCTCTTGTGGGTGCTTATATACTTTCCTAGTAGTTGTGATTTGGGTTTTTAAAAAGTGCATCAGTGCTAGTGGTGTCTTGCTAAACACTCCACATTTTTTGATCTTGAATTCAAGCCCTGTATAGGATATAATATGATCTGCTGTAGTAGATTTTTTTTTACTTATTTTGAAATTTTTGGGGAGGTTTTTTTAGCATGCTGTTTTGGCTCAATGCATGTATGTATTGGGGAATGTATTTTTTATGGACACCCTGCCCTCAAGCCAGCTTCAAGCCTCACCTGTGGTCCCATCCTTGGGCAGATGCACCCACAGTCCCATAATATCCCCTTAGTCCCACAGATGCATCCTTACCCCTATAGGTAAAGATAAAGGTTTCTCCTTGACATTAAGTCTAGTTGTGTCTGACTCTGGGGGATGGTGCTCATCTCCATTTCTAAGCCAAAGAGCTGGTGGTATCCATAGACACCTCAAAGGTCATGTGGCTGGCATGACTGCATGGAGCACAGTTACCTTCCAGCCAGAGCAGTACCTATCGATCTACTCATATTTGCATATTTTTAACTGCTAGGTTGGCAAAAGCTGGGGCTAACAGTGTGACCTCACTCTGCTGCTCAGATTCAAACCACTGACCTTTTGGTCAGCAAGTTCAGCAGCTCAGTGGTTTAACCTGTTGTGTCACCAGGGGGGCCCTTAGATGCACCCTTAATTTCATAAACCCATCATTGGGAGACCTAGCAAAAATCCCTGTTGGTTTCAGTGCTTTTGGATCCAACACATAAACTAACATATATCTGAAATGAAATAAAAGTAATGGCCAAATAAATTCACCGGTTATAAGGAAATACATTCTAAAAACCATAGACTTCACTTTTTATTAGGGAGTTATGCTTTGAATAAAAGGAACTGGCTTTACCAGGCAAAGTAGTTAGCTTTTCCTGTCAGTCAAAGTACTGAACAACATATTCCTTGAGTATGTTTTTTTTTCCAGCCAGACTTTCCCCCTCCCCATTTTCCCATAATAACCAGCTCCACCATTTGAGACCACTTACTTGCCAATCACCACACTGGCATTTTCCAGGATCTCCAGATGTTGCATACCAGCCTCCAGGAGGTATTTCTCACCTTGGGTGCAGACCAGCACTAGCTCTTTGGCACTTTCAAGCAAGAGCTTGTATTCGCCAGCCATTGTGTCGCTCTCTCCAAACCTGTCGCCAAGCTAAGCAAGCCAGATGGGGAAGTGAGACACGAAAGGCTTCAATAGGGCCAGGAGAGCAGCTTAGAGTTTTCCCAGTCAGACTCTGTCTCTCTGTCTTTCCTCTAGAAGTGTTGTTTCATTTGTCTTTAGACTGCTGCATTCACTGGAAAACAAACACATACGTTTCATAATCAACGAAGGGATCCTCAGCTGCACCCAGAAAGTCATGCAGGTTGAAAAACTAAGTGTACTTATTTTGATACTAACAATAGGGAATCACCAATTAATAATGCTTCCCAGTCAGAGCTTGGAGAATCAGTAACTTTTTGAACTATATGGCTGAGAACTACCCAGCCTGCCAAATTCCCAAAAAGAAACTTTTCCAAGCAGACACAACAACGGAGAGATCCTTGCCAAGTGGCATCTGGCATAAAAGAGAGCATGCCAACCTTTCTCCTTCCTCTGGATGGGTCTGATTTTGACTTGTGGCCATGTTTGGTTTTTTAAATGCAGAAATGAGTAGATAAGTCTGTTATAGCAAGAACAAAAAAAGAACACTACAGCATCTTAAGAGACTTCCACATTTATTTATGTTCATGTTCAATGACAAATGCACGATATTCCACTTGGGCAGAAAAAATGAAATGCAAAGATACAGAATGGGGGACACCTGGAATCCTCATGGACAAGAAGTTAAACATGAGCCAACAATGTGATGCGGCAGTTTTAAAAGCCAATGGGATTTTGGCCTACATCAACAGGAGTATAGTGTCTAGATCCAGGGAAGTCGTGCTACTCCTCTAGACCACACCTGGAATACTATGTCAAATTTTGGGCATCACAACTGAAGGGAGATGGTGACTCTAAGCTGTCCAGAGGAGGGCGACTAAAATGATCAAGGGCCTGGAGAACAAGCCCTAGGAGAAGCAGCTTAAAGAGCGGGGCATGTTTACCCTGCAGAAGAGAAGGCTGAGAGGGACCTGCAGACAACGACATCTGGAGGATGGCAATTATTATCATTCCTCCTGTGGGTCGTTTGTTTACTGTCGGGTGGGACTCAGAGTGGCATAACATCATGCATTCAATGCCTCACTTACACAAACAGTTAAAAACATAACATTAAATCATTTAAAAAGTAGATATAAACACATTAAACACATGAAACATGATAAATCCAATACAGAAATAACACATTGCACAAGTCCTTAACCATAATTCAGCTGCAGCATTTCTAACCGTGTCCAGACAAGATGTTAAATTGCAGTTCCGTCATTCACCAAACGCCTGCTTGAATAGGAAACAAGCTTCCTGAATGCCAGGAGGGAGGGGGTCATCTAATCTCTCTGGAAGGGAGTTCCACAGCCAAAGGGGCCACCACCGAGAAGGCTCCGTCCCTCGTCCTTATCAATTGCACTTGCGAAGGCGGTGAGACCGAGCACAGGACCTCCCCAACAGATCTTAACACTCATGTTGGACTGTAAAGCGAGATACATTCAGATAGGTAAGCTAGACTGGAGCCATTTCACCTAAAGGCAGAATCAACACTAAGGGTGCATCTCTGTAGAGCTGGTGCAGTTTGACATCACTTTAACTATCACGGTGGCTCAAGAATATGGAACCCTGAGATTGCCAGGGGGTGCATCTGCACTGTAGTGTACATCAGGTATGGGCAAACTTAGGCCCTCCAGGAGGACCGAAATTTCCCCCCGTCTAGTGCAAATGCACTCTTCCATGGGCTGAGACTCGTGCAATGGCTCTGCCTGGGAGTTGCTTTGCCAAGGTGTTTCCCAGGCGCCTTTCTGGGAGCGCGAGACTTCGGGGCGCGCGCTGGAAGTCTGCCCGGAATCCCCACCCGCGCCTCGAGCCTCCTCCTAACCGCCCAGGAGGAAGGAAGGAAGGAAGGACGGAGCCCCCTTGCAGCTGCCACAAAGGGGAGGCAGCCTCCCATGCCTTTGCTTTGGTCGCCTCTCCCTGCCTGCCTGCCTCCCTGTCTCCCTTGGCCCTCTTTGGGGAGAGGAGGCCAGCGGGGGTTGCGCCTTGGAAGCAGAAGGCAAGTCCTAAGCCGGGCAAGGGGAAGGAAGGAAGGAAAGGAAAGGAAGAATGGAAGGAAGAAGGAGGAAGAAGGAAGGAAGAAGGAAGAAGGAAGGAAGGAAAGGAAAGGAAGGAAGGAAGGAAGGAAGGGAAAGATGGGAGGAAGGAAGGGGGGAAGGGGGGAAGAAGAAAAAAGAGAAAGAAGGAAGGAAGGGATGAAGGAAGGCAAGGATAAAGGAAAGAGAAGGAAGGAAAGAAAAGGGAAGGAAGGATAAAGGATGGGAGGGAAGGGAAGGAGGAAGAAAAGAAGGAAGAGGGAAGAAAGAAGGAAGGAGGAGGAAGGAGGAAGGGAGGGGAGGAAGAAGGAAGGAAGAAGAAAAGGAAGGAAAGAAAAGGGAAGGAAGGATGGGTGGAAGGGAAGGATGGGAAGGAAAAAAAAAGAAAAGGAAGGGAGAAGGAGAAGGATTTTTTTTAATCATGTCAGGAGTGACTTGAGAAACTGCAAGTCGCAAGGATGAAGGAAGGAAGACAAGGATAAAGGAAAGAGAAGGAGAATACAAAATGGAAGGAAGGAGGGAGAAAGAGAAGAGGAAGGAAGGAAGGATAAAGGAAAGAGAGAAGAAAAGGAAAAAAGGGAAGGAAGGAGAGGGAAAGAAGGAAGAAGAAAAGAGAGGGGAAGGGAAGAGAAAGAAAGAGGAAGGAAGAGAGAAGAAAAAAGATGGAAGGAAGGAGGAAGGGGAAAGGAGAGGAAGAAGAGGGAGGGAGGAAGGCAGGAAGGAAAAAGGAGAAAGAAGGGAGGAGAGAGTGTGAGAGAGGAGGACCTGAGAAAAGAGCCCAAGGGGCCACATCCGCCCCCCCCCCCCCCGGACCTGGGTTTACCCATAACTGTCCTAAGACATGTGTAGCCATTGACCAATTTTGAAAAAGAAGCCTGTGTGTCGGTGCTCACTTACACCATTGGAAGCATCCCTTTCCTCTGTAAACTACACCAGTGACTCCCAAACATCCACCCTCTAGTTATTTTGAACTTCAACTCCACAACGCCCCAGTCACTTTGTCCAATGGTGACGCCCAAAACACCTGGAGGACCAGCACAGATCTAGAATGAATGCCGTTTGGCACCACTTATAAACTTCCAGGACTGCGCTATGGAATTCCTGGAGTTGTTTGGGAGGCACTTTGGTAGAGAAGGCTCAAGACCTTGTTAAAGCCATTGAACCAAGTTAGTTCAAGTGGTGTCAAACTACATGAAGATGCACTCCCAGATAAGTGGAAATCTGTGGCTTGCTCTTATCCTGGACATAGCAACCACTCCTGTGGCATTAATGGTTCTCTAGAAGGGGGATTTTCAGTATTTTCTGCATGTTATGGAAGCTACATGTATCAAAATGCCTTTTTCTATACAAGCATTAATACTCTCCAGCTCAGGCCTGGGCAAACTTGGGCCTGCCAGGTGTTTTGGACTTCAACTCCTACCATTCTTCAGGCCCCTTTCTTTTCCCCCTCAGCCATGGGTTTCCTCTGTGAAATATGTAGGTAGAAGCCCAGCCCTATCCTTTATTTTGCTTGACAACCCAAGCCCCGGAGATATGTACTTTGCATATAAAGTGAACTTTCTGTATTTGTATTTTATGTATTCTAGGTACTGCTTGTTTATGCAGAAATATTGGAAGTCCTTCTCCAGCTGCTCTGAATGTGGATTGTTTTGCTGCTCATTCCCATAAACAAATCTTGTAAGTGATTAACTGCATTATCCTGAGATCCAAAACAAATTACATTTGATACTGTAAAACCATTCCAGTATAAAATAATGGCAATTGCTCAGTTGTGGGTTTTGCTTTGCTCCCCCAAGACCATAAATAAACTTTTAAAAATTCACAAGTATGAGTACAAAACAGCAGCCAAATTGGAAAATACGTTCTGAGTTTAAAACCAAAGATGATTACTGATTTAAAGCCAGGATAACAACATTCCTGTTTTGTTTACCCTATGGAATTAAGATGTCTGCAAAGAATAATACTTCCTTAAACCAGCACTGAAGCAATGCAGGACCTTGGGCAAAGCATACTCTCTCAGACTCAAAGGAAGGCAATGACAAGCTCCCTCTAAGACAAGAAAACCAATTACCATATATACTCAAGTATCAGCTGACTCAAATATAAGCCGAGGCACCTAATCTTACCACAAAAAACCAGGAAAACATATTGACTTGAGTATAAGCCGAGGGTGGGAAATGCAGCAGCTACTTATAAATTTCAAAACAAAAATAGATATCAATAAAATTACACTCATTGAAGCATCAGTTGGTTAAATGTTTTTGAATATTTACATAAAACTGTAATTTAAGTTAAAACTATCCAACTCTGATTAAATCATTATTCTAACATTCTTCAATGTAAATGTGCTTACGTATCCTTCCAGTAATAATAAAGAGAGTAAAAGAATAAATGTAATAATAATAATAATAGAGTAAAAGAATAAATGTAATAATAAAAAGAGCAAAAATAATAAATGTAATAATAGAGTTAATAATGTAATAATGTAATAATAATAGAGTAAAATGATGATGATGATAATGTTGCAATCCCAGGTGATAGCAGGATTGAAGAGAAACAACTGGAAAAGCTGACACGATATGAGGATTTAAAAATCAAACTGCAAAGACTCTGGCACAAGCCAGTAAAGGTGGTCCCAGTGGTGATTGGCACACTGGGTGCAGTGCCTAAAGACCTTGGCCTGCACTTAAACACAATCAGCGCTGACAAAATTACCACCTGCCAGCTGCAGAAGGCCATCTTACTGGGATCTGCATGCATTATTCGCTGATACATCACACAGTCCTAGACACTTGGGAAGTGTCCAACCTGTGATCCAATACAACAGCCAACAGAGTGATCTTGTCTGCTGTGGACTCATCTTGTTGTGTTTCAAATAATAATAATAATAATAATAATAATAATAATAATAATAATAATAGAGATAATAATACATCACACAGTCCTAGACGCTTGGGAAGTGTTCGACTTGAGATTTTTTGATATGAAATCCAGCATATAGATCTCGTTTGTTGTGACATACTGGGCTTTTGTGTCAGTAAAATAATAGAGTAAAATAATAAATAACCTTGAGTAGAGTATAAGCAAAGAGAGGCTTTTTTCAGCCTAAAAAAGGGGTGAAAAACTCAATTTATACTCAAGTATATACAGTAATTCAGAGTCATCTTGAAGGCGGAGCCCCCGATGGCGCAGCGGGTTAAACCCCTGTGCTGGCAGGACTGAAGACCGGCAGGTCGCAGGTTCGAATCCGGGGAGAGGCGGATGAGCTCCCTCTATCAACTCCAGCTCCTCATGGGGGGACATGAGAGAAGCCTCCCACGAGGATGATAAAAAAAACATCAAATCATCCGGGCGTCTCCTGGGCAACGTTCTTCAAGATGGCCAATTCTCTCACACCAGAAGTGACTTGCAGTTTCTCAAGTTGCTCCTGACACGACCAAAAAAAAAAAATCTTGAAGGCACATAACAACAAAGCCTGGTGCAGATGTCACCAAATGTTATTTTCTGTTGACATTCAGCCAGTCAGTGACAACTATAGTACAGAGAGAAAGAAGCCTGGAAATATTTTTTTCCTGGTCCAAAATGTCTACTTGCAAATATTAAAGCTTTAAATGCTGCAGTGTCTTGTGCCGCTCATTAATGTCACAGTGTTATTATGTAACACTACGATACCAAAACACACCTTGGATCATACTGCATGTTGATTGCTGAAATTGTTAAAAATTATACATGATTTTAATTTCTTTTGTTGTCTTGTTTCTTTTCCTGTTTGACTTAGATCCAAGGAGCTTTTTCACAGATTGCAATGGCAGCAACAATTATATCGCTTACACCATGTCTAGGAACTGGCTCTAGTCTCGGTAACAAAAATTAAAATTAATCACATGGCATTAGCAACGGTACCATGAAATGCTATGGTCCTGCCAAATATGGATGTGGGGGTGGGGTGCTGCTTTGGAAGAGTGTTTAGAAGCTAGTTCAAAGAACTGCAGCCAGCACGTTAATAGGTTACTAAGCCCTGTTGAAACAGCTGCATTGGATGCCAGCTTCTTTTCCGGGCATAGTTCAGAGTGCTGACTGTGACCTGCAAAGCCCTACATGGCTTGGGTCCAGACTATATGGCACACTATATCTCCCTGTATGAATCTGCTAGGGCTTTTGAGATATCAGGCAAAGTCCTTTTCTCAGTCCTACCAACATCACAAGCACTGGGTTTCTGTAAGTTTCAACAACACATCACAAACATTGTTAGTGTGGACACGAAAGAGGGCTTTCTTGGTGGCTTCCCCTCAAATCTTGAATGTCTTTCCAAGGCCAGAATGGCCTCTTCTTGTTGTCCTTTCATCATCTGGCAAACAAATCCCTTTTAAACAGAAAGTTTTTTTTAAATGGGAGCAGTGTTGTTTTAAATTGAACTGCTTTCATTAGTTTTTAATCTTTTTATAACATTTTATTATTTTAAGTCTGAATTTTTTTAATAACATGATTAATTTTATTCTATTTTAATGCCGACTTTTTGTATATTTTTAGCTGTATTGAATTTTTAAATTGTGAACTGTTTTGAGTCCCAATTTTGAGAGAAAGGCAGGTTGTAAACAATAACAATATTAGAGTCAGGTTTGGAATAGTGGATTTTGTGTTTTTCTGAATATGGATTGAATCCAACACTGGTGAAATGTGCAAGTATGAAAAGAGTCTAATTTATCATGGAGCCAGATACTTTTCTACCTCTCCCGGCATCTGGAGCAGGAATGACCACATGTTTTGGACTGTATCTTTCTAATCCATGGACTTTGTTCATGTTGGCTGGGTTTCACAGGAACCCAAAACACCAATGTGAAGAGTAATACAATCTGTAGTTTTCATAAGTAGCTTGACTTTAGGTGAGATGTTTTTATGGAGTAGATAGGAATAAAAAGTTATCATGAACATTTTCTAGAGCTTTATTATACCTTCAAGACAATACTCTTTGTTTGCCTTATGTCACTTTGAGATCTGGAGTACAGTGGGTTAAACCCTTGTGCCAGCAGGACTGCTGAACAAAAGATTGACGGTTTGAATCCGGGGAGCAGGGTGAGCTCCCATCTGTCTGCTCCAGCTTCTCATGCGGGGACATGCTAGAAGCCTCCCACAGGATAGTAAAATATCTAGGTGTCTCCTGAGAAAAATCCTTGCAGAAAGCCAATTCTCTCACACAAGAAGTGACTTGCAATTTCTCAAGTTGCTCCTGACACACACACACAAAAAAACCCCCAAAACTTTGAGATCTGCATTGTTATTATGGATAGTAACTATTGTAGAAAAAACAAAACTGCTTTTGTTTTAGTTGACTATTCTTACATGGTTTGGGAAAATAACATTATTTATCTTTCCTAATCTGTAGAGGCAACTGGCAAACCAAGAAGCCCCTTCAGATGCGCAGACAATGAAATCTATCTTTATAGAAATATAGAATGTGTTGAGAAAGAGAAGGTATGTCTTTCCAGAGTTCAGAGATAACACATTGTGCAGTAATGTGTCCTTTGGTAATAAGATACCATGACTTATGGGATGGGAACAACACTCATCTTGGCAACAAGAAGAGGGAAATCTCTATTTATTCATTAAGAGGATGGCTATCTCCTTTGAGATTCTTTATAGTTCTTCTTAAATAAAACCAAGTCTTGCTATCCTATCTTTTATTTAAGCAAAAGTGGTGTGACTAAGGCCCCTTCCCTTCTATACTGTCCTAAATCCCAGGATCTGGTCCCAGATTCTGCTTTAAACTGGATTAGATAAATCTCCACTGCCAGATAATCTGGGGTAAGATGATAATCTAGGATCAGATCCTGGGATATAGGGGCAGTGTGGAAGGGGCCTAAGACTGTATCTACACTGCCATATAATCCAGATTATTTGTTTTGAACTGGATTATATGAGTCTACACTGCCATATAATCCAGTTCAAAACAGATAATCTGGATTTTATATGGCAGTGAGAAGGGACCCTAGCCAGGAGTTTCGATTCGGGAGGGGGGCTGAGTTTGTTTCGGGGGGGGGGCTGAGTCTGAGTGAAAGAGGGTCTACCCTAGCAAACCTTTTGTATCGTTACCCCAATACCCCCATGCATATGGGATATATTGAGTATGGTGATCAGATCATGATATGAATAAACATAACAGTTTAAATAATGCACCAGTAAGGCCTTGTTCGCGAACCACCATGAGAATTTGGGGGGGGGCTGAAGCCCCTCAACCCCCCCCCCCCCCCCCAGCTATATGCCTGGCAGGGCCTAACAGCGTGGAAAGTAATGAATGGGAGTGACTACAGCACAGTCTCAATTAAGCAACAGATGTGGGAATTAGTAGATGCTCTGGCTTCTTGTTGCACGGGAACTACTGTTATTAGCTTCTTGTTGCATGGGAACTACTATTAAAAATATGTCTAACCAATGCTATACCCTGTATTATACATACTGCAAACTCTGTATTGATTTGATGCTAATATTTAAATACAGTAGTTAAAAGCAAATCAATACAATTAAAGACAAATTTTACATAAGACCACCCTATTGGGATCTGCATGCATTATTTGCCGATACACTTGGGAAGTGTCTGGCATGTGATCCAATATAACAACCAGCATAGTGACCTTGTTTGCTGTGTACTAATCTTGTTGTGTTTCAAATAATAACAACAACTTAATTTATAACCCGTCCTCTCTTCCCAAAGGTAGAACATAGTTTTACCGTATTATAAAATTTATTTTATTTCAATTTTTATGGCAAGTATTATATCTTCAGTGTTTTTTGACACTCGCTTGAGAATTAAATTTGCTTGAGTCCATTCCAGTTACTGTATCTGCTAGGATGGACATAGGATTATCATGGCAGTGTAGAAGGGACCATAGAGGAGCTTTGCAAATAGAGGTTTTTAGCAATGAGGAATGAATGAAGTCGGGTGGCCCATGGAACGCATGTGGGCTGCCAAGCCTCAAAATGTGCCCCGTAAGTCTCTGTGGCCAACAAAATTGTGCAAATCTCCCTTCCCTCTCCTTCCATCTCCCTTGTTTCAGTCCCATCTTAAACTCTCACCCCCTTTTTGCAAATGCTGCCATCCACTCCTTCCATTTCCTTGACTGCAGTCCAGGCTTTAACAAAACTATTCCATAGATGACCAAATTGTTTTTAAAGATTTTTTTAAATGTAAAAGACATTCCTTGGTGCAAGAAGTTCCAGATATCTGGATGTGACCATCTGGTTCTGCCATAGTTGCCCACCACTACCTTAAAAGTAATATATTTTACTCAAGAATAGTACATAGCAGTAATTGTTGTCACGGCAAGAAATATTTATTTTTTTATTTATTTCCTAAATCTTGTACCCCACTCAGGGCAGCCTCACAAAAGCATCATAGGATGCCGACATCATAAAAACAATTAACAATCAGCAATTAAAAACAGTAATCATACCATTGATTGAAAACACACCTGTTAAAATCAGAATCCAAAATCCAGAGTCCAAGCTCCAATCCTGGGTCAATTCATTGTCTTAAAAATTCTTTTACTTGCTGTTATTACTGGTCGAACGCTTGGTCCCATAGCCAGGTCTTAAGTTTCCTTCTGAAAGACAGGAGGGAGGTGGCCAATCTGATGTCCCTGGGGAGGGAGTTCTCCAGATGGGAGGGCACTGCAGAGAAGGCCCTGTCCCTCGTCCCCACCAGTCGCGTTTGCAATGGTGGTGGGATTGAGAGCAGGGCCTCTCCAGATGATCTTAAATTTCGTGATGGTTTCTAATAACATTCCAGGTTCTGTGAGTTTCTCATTGCAGAGAAGCTACGATTCATATCTACTATATAAATGTTATATCATGGGCAACTGCTGTATGTTTGTTTCTTGTGTATCTTCTCCAAATCTAGATTGTGAAAATGAGTTTTAATTTCAGTTTAGGCAACTTCAACAGGACCTGAAGGTGTTTCAAAAGACCACTGTTGCATCAAGAGCTCGGACGCTAAAGTCTTTTAAAAAGTTAGAACAAGCCATTGAAAGAGAGTCAGAAGATGATATAGAAGAGGACTCTCCTGCTGTGAGCTGGGCTCTTGCTTTTGCGAAATGTGAGCAAAAACATAACTTTGGATGACTTAGTGCTCACCAGTCATTTATTTTGATGTCTGTAATTCCCAATCATCTATTCATAAGTTTGGTATATATATGCTGGCTGTGTTAAATTTAAAAGAAGGCATGTGACTTGTGATAATACATTATCTTTTTCTATTTATTTATTTAATGTGTCAGAAGCGAATTGAGGGTACTTTTATAATGTATTTAAAAACACAAACAAATTTATACTAAATGTCCTTTGACCAGAAGCTGGCCACTTCAAGTGCCTCTGGTGTCGCTGTAAGGAGATCCTCATTCTACATGTGGCAAGGCATAGACTGCCTTGTAGTAAGTGGTCTGTGGTTTGCTCTTCTCCATACTCGCATGTCTTGAATTCCACTTTGTAGCCCCATTTCTTAAGGTTAACTCTGCACCCCCTGGTGCCAGAGCGCAGTCTGTTCAGCGTCTTACAAGTCGCAAAGTCTTCTGTGTGTCCAGGAGGGAGATTCTCATCCGGTATCAGCCATGGATTGAGGTTCTGGGTTTTAACCTGCCACTTTTGGACTCTCGCTTGCTGAGGTGTCCTGCGAATATCTCTGAGGAACTTAGAAAGTTATTTCTTGATTTAAGATGTTGGCATACTGGCTGATATCCAAACAGAGGATGGATCGGAGATGTCACTGCATTGGTTCTCTCATTCTGATTCTCTTTCTGATTCTAGCTGTAATGAGAAGCATTTAATTATTAAACATTTCAAGATTCAAAAGTCACGGAGAAGTTACTTTTTTCAGTGGACACATAGAATTTCTTATTTGACTTGCTGTGGCCATACTGGTTGGGGGATTCTGGGATTTTTTAAAAAAGCAATTCATCTGAGTGCAGATGAACCATGATTTTCACCAACCCTAATCATGATCTGATATCTGACAAACCATGTTTGAGCACAGCTTATTTATTACTGTTCACTGGACACTTAGTGGCTCTTTTTATAAAAACGTCTCTGAGATAGGATAACATGGTTTAACATGTCTAATAAACAATAAATTGTTAATAGAACAAAATATAGTTTGTAAACCTGCTTCACACTTGGTTTCTGAATCTGATTATGGTTGATTTCCAAGTGTTGGTTGGCAATCAACTAGGCGTCACCATTTATAGTTTGTTATTATTGTATTAAAACTCAAATAAAGAAAATGTACAGTCAAGTAATTTCTAGAAAAGAATAATTTGAAAGACTTGTCCATATTTGGCTATTTGCACAACTCCTTGAATACACAAAGTGCAGTGCATGTTCTATAAATAACCATTTACAATATGCCAGTGGTTCCCAACCTGTGGTCTGTGGACCACCAGTGGTCTGCAAGAACTAAAACATGGTCCACGGCTTTACCATTACTACATCGTTGCAATGAGAGCAACTGGTCTTGCGAAACCCTCTTATAATGCCAAGGCTTATTAAATATGGTTTTCTGTGGGTGAGCAGATGGTGATTATCGGGTGGTATATGTTCTGTATCAGAAACTAGAGCTGATGTGATCTATCCAATGCAATTTTCTGAATCGGTACTCCAAATAACCAAACCAAATCTAAAGTTGACCAAAAACTGATTTGTAGCCCTTTTGGTACTAATGTTGGAGAGTGGTCCCTGGTCAATTGGTCCCTGGTCAAAAGTTGAGAACCACGGCAATATGTAAAGATATAAGGGGGAGAAATCTAATAACATTGTTTTTCTTCTCCAAGCCTGTCAAAGTGATACGCAGTCCATAACAGATTACATCAATGAGCAGAAGGAACTGTTTTTGCTGGAGGTAAATGCTTTCATTTTTGTAGTTAAAGAGTGAGTGTAAATCAAAACAAAAGACATCTAAGCCTCATGAAGCAACATAGACTAGATTATTCAACACTTATCCAATCTTTACAGAGAAATTTCATTTTGAGAGGTGGGCTGGGAGGCCTAAATTGCTCTTCAATAAAAATGCTCATTTTTTGTATATTGTGTGACATGCATAGATTATATGGCATAGCTTCATCTTTATAAGATGAATCAATTTAATGTATCCCATATGCTGCACATGTGCTTTTTGACAACCAGTAGAAAAACTGGTTCTAGTTATGATGTGTGCATGAGACCTACAATATGATATAAATAGTGGGTACTGGAGAAGAATCAAAGAGGCATTTCTTTAAGTCTGAGCTTTCCCTCCTTCCCTCCAAATGATGGGGTGGCACGCTACATATTTAGAACTTTAAATTTGATCTGGAAACTTATGGCCAGCCAGAGCAACTGATGGTAGAATTTAATTTTATAGTTGCCATCAGTAGCTGAGTGGCTACATTTTCTATCAGCTTCAACTTCTGGATAATCATTCCTGGCATCCCCACAGCTCTTACCATGAGAAAGTTCTTCCTAACATTTAGGTAGAATCTTTTTTCCTGCAATTTGAATCCATTGCTCTGTATCTGACGACTTCATCATATGGGTGCCTGAAAGTGTCTTAGGATGCTTTTGCAACACAGCGAATCTATGGAGCCCCATGCTGGACATTACATAATGCAGGCTCACTTCTGATGGGGCTCCATCAACCAACTGTGTTGCAAGCATCCTACAATGCTTCGCTCAGAATACAGGAGGCTTCCTATGTTCTGTTGGTATCAACGCAGGGGGAAGTTGTATGCTGTGACACTTCCCCTTGCGCATTCCAGTAGTCCAGTTTCATAGTAAGCTAACTGAGACTTGCTTTTACTGCTCCTAAGTGGGGTTACAGCTGGCATACAAACTGAACACTATGAAAAGCAGTTTTGGGACACATCACCAGGCCACAGGGAGCCGAAGAGCACCCCAGACATTGACCTTATTCCTTCACAGAGATTGCAACCCAACTCAGAACCAGATTACTGTTTAGCTCTGCCACCTTCCCAGTCTACAGAACTCTTTGCCTTGACTAGATCAAGCTTCAGATTGCTCTCCCTCATCAATGGATGGTAAAACTGTAGCATTTAAGAAAATAGGATTTTAGCTGACTGCATTTAGGTTACAATGGTGTTTATTGAAAAGTAACTGTAACCTCAAAAATTGTTATAGCCCAATTATGGTTCTCAAGGTGCTATATAAAAAGAGAAGGAAAACGAGAAAACAAGTCAGAAGAGCAGGCCATATTAACCATTTATGTTTCATTAAAAGCTCATAGAACTGAATCATCCACATGTTAAAAATCATTTAGCCAAAAAGAATACAAATAAGCTTGATTTGCCACATAGGTCCCATCTACACTGCCATATAATACAGTCAGTGTAGACCAGGCATTGGCAAAGTTCGGCCCTCCAGGTGTTTTGGACTGCAACTCCCACAATTCCTAATATCTTCAGGCCCCTTCCTTTTCCCCGTCAGCTGCTTAAACTAAAGGGGAAAGGACCTGAGGCTGTTAGAAATTGTGGGAGTTGAAGTCCAAAACACTTGGAGGGCCGAACTTTGCCCATGCCTGGTGTAGACTCATATCATGTAATCTAACTGCATTGAACTGCATGATATGAATCTACATTGACTATATAATGGAGTTTCAAACTGTATTACATGGTACTGTAGATGGGGGTCATACTCTCACTTTATATTCAGCTTGTTGAAATAACAGTCAGTTTCACAAAATATTGAATCTTAAATTACTTTTGTAGAATACATTTTGTAATTTTCTCTCTCAATTGCAGTATGCAGTTAAAACAAAGCAACGTGCTATATCAAAGATGGAGGAAATGGCAGCAATGGAGGAGAGAAAGGCCAAAAACGCCGAAACGAAACTAGAAGATGATACACTGGCATTTGAGGAGTTTCTCAAGGAAAACGATAAAAGTTCTGTAGATGCCCTTAAAATGTGAGGGACTTTGTTACAATGTCTATTATTAACAGTGGAACAGATTGGCATTCAGTTGCTCTTCTCACACCCACAAATTTATCCTTTCCATCTTCCCCTCCAAAAATATCTAAAAACGGCGCAAGGAATCATGCCACTGAGAGGACCATGTATATGTGTATCTCTCACTACCCTCTTATTGTGCCTTTGACATGCAGTGAAATATATAGAGGTATAGCCATATAATTGTAGCTTTGACGGTTTAATAAACGAAATGTTGTCACAGAATTCCCATGAGTGAGAAAGCAAAGCTTTCCAGCTCATTGGGGATATATAGTAGTTGCAAAACCCTCTTCATAGCTTCGTGCTCAACCCTGAAAGGTGTGCAATATTTCTGGAGGTTGAAACATAGAGTTAGGTCAGGTTCACATGCAGAGATATAGGGTAAATCTTCATATACATATCCCCCTTATAGCAGCTCTTACATCAACAACCCCAAGAGAGACAAAAAATGATGACTTCAGCAGTTTATTAAGAAATGCATGTACAAAGGGGAAAAGGGTATTTTCCAAAAGAGCATCAGAGTAGGAAATACAAAATAACAGTGGTCCGTTTACAAAATAGCAGCAGTCAAAAAATGGGAAAGTCTATGAAGTCAAGAGAATCAAAAATCACAGGCATAAATCCATTGGCATGAAAACAGGAACTTTTTCCAAGGACAACCCTTCCAGGAATATAGGCAAACACAAGAAACTTGAATCATGAACTTGAGAGCTGAGACAGGAACCCAAACCTTATGGCAGCGTTTTCTCCTCTGAGACACCAAGTAAACACCACTTAATTTAAGCCCAAGCCTGACCAAGATGCCATGACATCATAAGGAATGCACCTGGGCTTCAAGGATTTCTCACGGAGTCTCTCAGAACCCTTAATTAATCTATCTTTCACTCCTTCCATCCCAAAGACCTAATTTGACTTCGGGGAAAACTCCCCATTGGCTGAAGGCCGTTTCCCAAGAGAAATGGACCTTTCACCGGTTTCCCTTTCCCCTGTTGCTAAGGAATAAACATTGGAATCCAAAACATCCTCTGCCTCATCTTCATCTGCCTGCAATTCTCTCCCATCTAATGCCTGCATTTCTCCCAGATCATGTACAGACTCCTCATTTTGAAACCCATTATCCCCCTCATCCTCTGAGAAATTCTCAGTCACTTGCTGAGCCACAACAAAAGTGATGATATATAGATTCTCTATTTTAAAAGTCTTTGGGCTTTAACCCTTCAAGTTCTACAGACTGAACTTTGCACTCAACTGCTTCTTGCTTTTCTGTAAAAATCTGAGAGCAGGAGGGTTTACTTAGCGGTGTGCCAATTATTTAATGAGCAATGTATTTTGATCCTCCAAAGATTAATTGTTAACACATTACAGCAGAGCTTTCCAAACTGTGTGTCACAACACCTGAATGTGTCAGCTGTAGTGTGTAGGTGTGTCACACAAACATAACAACAACTCTGAGTCTATGTGAAATAAGCTATAAATAACATATATTTGAAAATATAAATGAAAGCTTTTCATTAGGTATGTTGTGTACATTTCATTATCAAAACTTATGTTTGCGTCCGTATGTCTTATAATCCCCTTATAAGACATAGAGACACAAACATATGTTGTAGTAATGAAATTAACCTCTGGTTTGCTAGTAAAACTGAATTACTGTGTCGCGAAATGCCGTATGTCTAAAAAGGTGTCCCAACATGAAATGTTTGTACAGCTCTACTTTATGAACATTTCTGGGCTTTTTTCTGACTGTAAATTTCGGAATTTGTATGTTATAGCAATAGTGTGATCTAAGTAGTTTATCATTGTCAGCATATCAGTTCATTGACATAATTATAATACCCAAATATTATGGCGTTGAACAGAAACTGATCATATATGTCAGTTGAGGATAAAATCCTCATATGCTTTGTTTTCAATTGACTTAAGAGGAAAAAACTTAGTTAGGTTAAGATTTGCCTGTACATACATACTGTACATAGTTGATAAAATCCATATTATTTTTAGGGCAAGCCAGGAAGCAAAAGCGAAAAATGAAGTGATGACAGAAGTCAGGTTAGCAATGAATGAAGTGTTCTCTCTTAAAAGGTGAGCTCTTTGTTTTATTTCTTGGCAAAGCATCATTTGTTTATAAGAAATGAGGAAATTTCTCTTTTAATGTTGATAGTTTTACTTATGATTTAAAAGAAGTGCTTGAGAAGCAGCATCTACAATTCTTTCAATGGGTATAACTCAGCAATATTTTGAAAAATATTAAACTTTTGCAAAAAATATAAATATATGGAAAGTCAGCATAAGATTAAATGTCAAATTCAGTCAAAGTCAGTTAATGAAAAAATGTATTGGTTCATTATTAGTTATTCTGTTGGGGAGGAAGCCACACAGAAACCTGCAGTTACACCAAACCTGTTTGTTTACTAAATCACACCTTGTGTGAGGCAGATGCTTGGGTATCTTTAAATTTAACACCAATTTAAGATATGATAACTAAAAAAAAAACCATTTTAAATTGTTTAGTGCTTTCTATGTTTAGCATTAGAGTTCAAATGACAATATAAAACAAACATGACTCTGGAATCACTGGGTTGCTGTGAGTTTTCTGGGCAGTATGGCCATGTTCCAGAAGCATTCTCTCCTGACGTTTCACCTACATCTATGGCAGGCATTCTCAGAGGTTGAGGGTTGAGGATGCCTGCCATAGATGTGGTTGGAATGTCAGGAGAGAATGCTTCTGGAACATGGCCTTACAGCCCAGAAAACTCACAGTAACCTAAACATTACTCTGTAATTAAACATTTTTGACTCATTAACTTTTCCATTACAGTAACTCCAATTTATTTGCCTTACATCACATAGCGATGCTACTTCAATAACATATTAGTACTTGTTGGAATCTCAGTTTTCGTCTTTTGATGTCTGCAGTGAAATTACAAATGCTGAAGACCTCCTGAGACTTTATTTATCCTATGAAGCTTTTTTGCTGAGCATTTCTCCTAAAGAGTGGCAAGACCAGCAGATGGCAAAGAAGAAGAAGAAGAGAGACAGGAAAAGCTTGCTTTCAAAATCTTTTATGTCGGTGCCCAGTCGTGATAAAACCAGACTAGTATCAACCTCATTTTTATTACATCACAGAATACGTAAGCACAAACTTTTCAAAACTATATTCTGGGAATTTAAACCATGTGAACCTATGTGGTTGCGGTGATTCAGTTGCACCCCACCCCACCCCTGATTCTCCCAGAGCAAGAATCTGAAAGAATGGTGAAAATCAAAACTATACAATATAGTAACAGCCATATGACTTCTATGAACTATAATATCTCTTGCTTTACATTGCTGTAGTTTGTTTTTTATTTAATTCTTTTTTCTCCCACTACTCAATCCACTAGGGCTCCCAAAGTGATGCATAATATATAAAAGCATTAATTGGAAACAGATTTTTAAAGCGCATTTTAAAAAGAAGTACTGTAAGTGAACATTCTTTGAAAACAGATTGAAACAATACCAAAAGCCAATACTAAGATGGGTTTAAAAACCCAAAAATCATGCAGAACTGTGCAATTTTGGTTACCTGCTTAAGGGAAGCTCAGAAACTATAGAACCAGCCTATCTTTGACTGGGAAGGAGTGCCACAATTGTGGTGCTGCTACAAACAGAGACAATCTTGACTTCAACAGTTCTGGCCCAGTTTACCTGTCCGAATGGATCTCCCTCTATGATCCAGCTAGGAGGTTAAGATCTTCTGGGGAGGCCCTGCTCTCAGTCCCACCTTTTTGCAGGCACGGTTGGTGGGGACAAGGGACAAGGCCTTCTCACTGGTGATCCCTCATCTATGGAGCTCCCTCCCTAGTGAAATTAGATCAGCGCTCTCCCTCCTGACCTTCAGGAAGGAGCTAAACATGTGGATGTGGGACCAAGTGTTCAGTTAGTAATCTATTATTGCAATAATTGAACATGGAATAGGGCAATGATAATCTGGAATGGCCGCAGACTATGATATTGGATTGTGTAATTTTAAATAAGTGGTTTTTAATGTTTGATATGTTTTTAATGATTGTTTTAATGTATATGTTTATTTTATTGGTGTGTGTTCTTATGGCTTTGAATCGCTGTCTATATATGTGAGCCACTCTGAGTCCCCTACAGGGTGAAAAGGTATTTATTTATGGTAAATAAATAAATAAATAAATTCAAGGGGCTGCCCTTGAAGATGTTTGGAAGATTTAGCTAGTGCAAAATGAAACAACTGGGTTGTTGGAGAGTATATGTCACTGATTTTGAATCAGATGCACTTACGACCAGTTTGCGGTTCTGTCAGCTGTGGGTGCATCTGTACCATTGAATTAGTTTATGTAGTTTGATTCCACCATGGTTCAATGTGGTGGAATCATGGGAATTGTCACTTACCAGTCCTATTTGCCAGAGAAGGCTAATGGCTTTAATAATAATAATAATAATAATAATAATAATAATAATAATAATAATAACTTTATTTTTGTAACCTGCTTCCATCTCCCCGAAGGGACTCAAGGCAGCTTACATATGGAACAAAGTGCCTAAAACAACACATAAAATAAACACACATAATGATACAGAACTAAAACCAATAGCATATAAAATAATAATTTTAAATCAGAACAGCGCCCAATAACTTATGGTGAGAACTGTCATAAAACAGTTATGTAAACAAGAACAAGAAAATGGGATGGTCAAGGTTGTAGCTAATGAACAAGAGTATGGGACAAAAGTGCAATGCTGTGTCATTAATTGCAGGCCATTGGGGCTAGACATTCTCAAAGGCTTTTCCAAACATCCATGTCTTCAATTCCCTCCTGAAGGAGGACACTGTGGGGGCCTGCCTAACCTCTCTGTGGAGGGCGTTCCAAAGCTGGGGGGCCACTACCAAGAAGGCCCTCTCCCTCTCCCTCATCCCCACCAACCACACTTGTAATGGTGGCAGGACTGTGAGGAGGGCCTCCCCAACACATCTTAATGCTCATACAGTTACATAGGTGGATATGGTCATGAAGATAGCCCTTGTAAAACTTCCATTTCCCCCATAGAATTGAACCATGGCAGTTAAAGTGGTGTCAAACTGTATTAATTCTACAATGGAGATGCACCCTATGACCCTGCCTTCTCCTATGAACAGTCTGGCATAAATTTTAGACTCATAATGGAAGTCCTGTTGGGTGTCCCACCACTCTGTAGGGCTATATTGGTGGCTACATACAGCAGGGTTTTCTCTGTGTTTACAAGTATGTGATGCTGTGTTGTTTGAACTCTTATCTTTAGACAAATGGGCACATGTCAGAGGGCAACCACAGACCAAAGGGCTGCCACCTGGCAAGAAGTTGGCAGCTGGGAGATCCGCCTCTTTACTTGTTCCTCGTGAGGAAGAGAAGAAGAAAAATACACAGGGGACAGGTAGGGGAGAGGCCCCAAGTGGTGGAAGGGCAACCCGGTGTATGTTTGGCTACTCCAGAGGTTCGTGCAGAAACTTGCAGTGACATCTATGATGTGTCTGCGTGTGTTTTTGTGCCTGAATATTAACTAACTCCCTGCCAGTATGTATGCCAGTTATGTTCCTTCCCTGTAATGTGAATACTTTGAACAGTTATGTTCCTTTCTTGTAATGTGAATACTTTGTTGACCACCCTGGAGCAGCCGAGGACAGATTTGCTCCATTTTCTACCTAGCAACCTTCAAAATACTTTAGACAATGCATAAGTGGCCTCCTGTGCTCAGATGTTATAGGTTTTTACCTTCTTGAACAGAAGAATCTTATATCAAAAAACTGTTCTTGAAATCCCATCCTTCAAAAGTACATTGCTGTGTTGTGATGCTGTTCCAAAAAATGTTAACCGCAGCCCCCAGCTAGTCACAAACACCTTTTTGTGTGTTTGTTTGGTTTTTTATATTGACATCAAAGTAAAAAATGTTCAGCTTGCTGATTTTAATAGTGCATGAAAGATGCCACTAGGCAAAATTGCTTTCTTGGCACAGCACCATTCCTAGGTTTTGCACTCCCAATGCAATTATGTTATATTTAATTCTACTGAATGTATGGTATTAGAAAAATAAGATACTATAGCTCCACAAATATATAATAGAGATCTAATAAATCTCTTGTTATGTGTTGTCAATGTTCAAAGGAGGTGATTACCGCTTTTTTAGAAAGTCATCAAGATCAGTGAGCATTAGATCATCCCTTGGAGGCAAAAGTAATCAAGTATCAAGGTAAAGTAATAACACTTTGAAAGTTTCTTACTATTCAAGTTTCATACATTGAGAATCATAAATGCTATATTTTGCAATAATGTGTGCTTGTAATATATACCAGCAGCATTTATGTTCAACTAACTTATGGAAGACAAAAAATTCACTGCAGCTTTTAGAAAGAAAAGTAAGCTGTATCCAGTCCTTCAATTTCTTGTCTTCAGAGGTTTATTTCTGTAGTGCCTTCTTGCCAAAGTCATAGCCATCACAAAGTTATGGGGCTTATATTTTCCATCTTAGTATTAGGCAATGAGCTAACAAGCTGACAGATATAAACACAAAGTTAAATTAATGTTTCCTTTTTAACAACTGTCAAAGTGAAAGAAGTGGATCTCTGTCTTCAGAAGACGAGTTTTCCTTGGATGATATACCAAGTGATGAGGTAAGGATTTCCTATTTTATAAATGCAGTACTCATGTCGTACAAAAATAAGGGCCTTCTTGCTTTTAATTTCAATTGTGCACTATCATCAGAACCTCTGGACCAAATCTTCTGCTATGATACTGCAGTTGTTGGACCCTGATGTTTACAGAGCTCAATTTTTGATATACACAACTTTGACTTTCTGAATCTATTTCCTTCCCTCATTTGATGAATTTGGGGCGGGGGGGGGGGGGGGAATCTCCCCATCACATCTGGAAAGAATTTGTGTGGATCACAGTCCTTAGATCATCTTAATTATCTTCATTTTTGCTATACTAATCCAATGTCCTGCAAACTGGTGAAATCACCAGTTGTAGATTCTTAAAAATAGCCACAAACTGATCATAGCATAAAGACCACGTGCCTTTTAATAAATGTGGTGACTCCATGAATTTTCGGTTGTACCATAAAGGTGGATACTGGCTCCTGTTTTAATGGAGAAATGAACCCTTGGCCTAATTCACAACAGGTTTCAAACTAGTACAATTTTGATAAATTAGAATTTAATTTGTGATAAGTAACCTATAGTGTTTAAAATATGTAGAACCCAAGCATCATCTGTCAATAGCTTAAGGACCAGTGTAGGAGGTCTTCAGCTAGGATGAATATTCCAGAATACTCCAATGCAAACAGTATTATGTCTACCAGGAATTTATGAGGATTCAGAAAAACCTAAGAATAAAGCATTTAAATTAAAATACATACAGGGACACAAAGCATACTACTTGGGTTTTCTGGAAAATAAGGTGACAAGGCACATAGCTCTCGCAGGGAATTTTTGTGGAGGAAGTTGGTATTACTGCCGTGTAGCAAGAAGCCAGCAGAAGCAAATGAGCAGTGCGTGTCATCAGTAGCTCATCGACTGATGTTGTAGTGAAGGTTAAAGATAAGCATCCTCATTCTGTTTCCCTCCAAGTGTGAAGTTCGCACTGTAATACGCTACCTAAATGCTAAGGGCATGAACACTGCTGCGATGCATTGCAAAATCGTTTCAGCTTATGGAGAGGATGTAATGTCAAGACAGCATGTGACAAAATGGGTACGAAATATATTGTGAGACCATGAAGAAACTTCGCAGAGTCATCCAAAACAAACGTCGTGAGATGCTGATGGCAGGAGTCTGTCTCCTTCATGACAATGTGCATCCGCACACCACTCATGCAGCCCAAGAGTTGTTGACTTCATTTGGTTGTTTTAAGCCACCCCTCTCACAGTCCCAATCTCACACCCAGTGACTATAATCTGTTCACGAAACTGAAGGAACACCTTGGTGAAAAAACGCTTTTCTGAGGACAATGACGAGAAGAAAACCGAAGTGACGAACTGGCTGAAAAAGGCAGAAACTTCTATGACACAGGCATCAAAAACCCGTCGCACAGATGACAAAATATATTGAACTGAATGGTGATTATGTGGAAAAATAATGTAATGCCGATGCTATAATTCAAGTTTTATTAAAATATATTAATTTTTTGTATTTTTTAAAATCTTGTAACCTTACTTTCCAGATAACTCTCATAGTTCTCCCACTATATATTTTATTAGTCTTCATGCTCCTACTGATGCATTTAGCTGCTTAAGAATTTTTTCTTCAAAGATAAACAGATGTTCTCTATCACCACTGAAAACATAATTGCCTCCTACCCAGTTAAAATGCAAACAAAATCCCATAGGTAGTATGATGGGATCTGCTTTATCAAGTAAAACACTATTGTCTTTTAGCAAACATAATTGTTTTTTTTAAATACATCAGATATAAATAAACAAAGGAACTCATATTCCAATTCAAACGTTCATTTATTTGCTAATTATAGAGACTGATTTTAAAATTCAGTATTAGCATCCATCTGATACTTAGCACAGCCACTTTTCAGATTGTGCAAACATGATGGTTTTAGTTGCTTTTGAAGAAAGGCAAGAGGTAAATCAGACTGCTGCTTATATGTTAGCTAATCTTTCCCAGAGCAAATCCCCTAAAATATAAATGGGAAGGAAGTACCTACAGTGAAACCTCTATTTAAGAGCATGCTACCTTAAGAGCATTGTGAATTAAGAGCTGTTGCTTGGCCTGAGTTTTGCTTTGACATAAGAGCAGCGTTTTGCGTTAAGAGCTAGCACCAGAGGGAGCGCCAGCACTAGAGGGAGTGCTAGCGCGAGAGTACAGGGCTTTAGGACGTCAAGAGAGCCACCTCCATGCCTCGTGCCTCCATGCTTTGTGCCTTGTGCTCTTGTCCACTTTGGGAGATTGCTGTCCGCTTTGCTCTTGTCCACTTTGAGGAACTTTGGGTTAGTTGATTTTTTGTGGTTTTATTCCTGGTATGTTTGGCTTCATGTAGAAAGAGAGGGAGAGAGGGCAAGGGAGGGAGGGAGACTGGAATGAGTACAGTATGACGAAAATGGTGCTTCTGCCTCTTCACTTTGTATTTTGTGCTTCCTTGCCACAACTTTATGCTTCTATATTTTAAAGTTGATTTTTCTTTTGTAAATGTTCCATGTGAATGTGCATTTATACATTATTTGTTATTTATAAATACATTTTCTTATTTTAAAACATGTTACCAAAATTGAGGAGTTGGGGACAGGACGCATTAATAACATTTCAGTGCACTTCAATGGGCAAAATTCACGCTGAGATAAGAGCATTTTGAGTTAAGAGCTCAGTCACAGAACAAATTAAACTCTTAAGTCAAGGTATCACTATATTTGAAAACATGATGCAGAGTACTGCTAGGATAGCCAAGTCTGTTGTTTTTTCCCCAGCACATGTCACACACTTAAATATGAAAATGTTTCCACGAAATACCCAGTATACAAGCAGCAGACATTTCTTCTGCATAATGTATGACTCTTGAATATTTCTGCTTACTATTAATTTAACAGCAAGGAAAGCACAACTTATTGTAAGTAATACAGTATCAGACATAGGCAGTATCAGACATAGGCATCTTCCTCCTTCACTTTAGAATGGTTGTTTTCAATTTTATATATATAAAAATATGTGCAGTCTATCTATAACTTCACTGACGTAACTAATCTTCAAGGAAATATGTAACACCCTGTCTTTGATATTAGGAGCCAGAAATATATTTCAAACACCCAGATGAATTACTGCAGATGTTCAGACATCTTGAAGAACAAAACCTTTCACTGTTTCAAAATATTCAAGAAATCAGTGGAACCCTGGAAGATAGACAGCTGAATGGTCAAGCTCTTCAGGAGCGCATGTAAATATATTTTTTATGTAATCACTTCTTAAGTTGCCTTGTACTGAGTAACTGGCTGGTAAAATCGCATAGATATAACATGTACATGAAGCCGTTGGGTGAGATCATCAGGAATTACCATTACTCCTTTCCACCAGATGCTAAGGAGGCTGTAAAGGTTGTGAACTGGTGCCTGGCTGCTGTGACTGTCTGGATGAGGGCAAACAAATGGAAGTTGAATCCAGACAAGACAGAGGTCCTCCTGGTCAGTCTCAAGGCTGAACAGGGTATAGGATTATAGCCTGTGCTGGATGGGGCTACACTCCCCTTGAAGGTGCAGGTTCGCAGCTTGGGAGTCCTCCTGGACTCATCACTGAGCCTGGAACTTCAGGTTGCGGTGGTGGCTAGGGGGGCTTTCACACAATTAAAACTTGTGCGCCAGTTGCACTCGTACCTTGGGAAGTCAGACTTGGCCACGGTGATCCATGCTCTCATTACACCCAGGATAGACTACTGCAACATGCTCTACATGGGGTTGCCTTTGAAGACTCTTCAGAAGTTTCAAATAGTCCAACAAGAGGCAGGCAAATTAGTAACTGGGGTGGCATACAGGGAGCACACAACTCCCATGTTGCGTCAGCCTGTTTGCTACTGGGCACAATTCAAAGTGCTGGCTTTGACCTATAAAGCCCTAAATGGCCCCAGTTTGGTTTACCTGTCTGAACGCATCTCCCTTTACCAAACACCACAAAAACTAAGATCTTCTGGGGAGGCCCTGCTCTCAGTCCGGCTACCATCACAGGCGCGTTTGGCGAGGACTAGAGAGAGGGCCTTCTCAGTGATTTCCTCCTGGCTATGGAACTCTCTTCCTGGTGAGATTAGATCAGCCCCTCCCTCCTGTCCTTCAGAAAGATGGTAAAGACCTGGCTATGGGACCAAGCCTTTGGGGCAGTGCAATGAGGCAGTAACAGGAAACCTACTCTGCTGACTGGAGCCAGCACGTTGTCATGAGATGTTTTTAAACAGCTGTAGATTTTAATGTTTATCTATATTTATAGTTATTTATTTATTTAGAACTTTTATATACCGGTCTTCTCACCTCCGCAGAGGGACTCAGGCCGGTTCACAACAACAGTATCACAGACAATGGTTTAAAAACATCACATCCCATAATACACTAAAACATTAAAATACTAAAATACAATCACATAATTACATTGGCCAAGTCGTCAAAATAAAATCGTAGTTCATCACCATCCATCCGTGTAGTCACGAGTTATTGACTCACTCATCAAATGCCAGTTTCCAGAGCCAAGTTTTCACCTGTTTTCTAAAAGTCAGGAGAGAAGGGGCAGTTCTAATCTCCAGTGGGGGAGAGTTCCAGAGCCGAGGGGCCACCACCGAGAAGGCCCTGTCCCTCGTCCCCACCAGACGCGCTTGCGAGGATGGTGGGACCGAGAGCAGGGCCCCTCCAGAAGATCTTAACAATCTTGACCACTTAACATATATCCTGTCAGCTTCACGTAATATGCCTGTAACTGCAACAAATTGGACCCCGGTTATGGAATGGCTTAGGGAAAAGAAGATAAAGATGTTAATAGATTAATACCATAACATAAGAAGTTAAGGAATAGTATCCAGGGGGAAGGCTAAGATATGTAGGATGGTTTAGGAATGATAATAGGAACAGCAAAAATAATTGGAAGAACGTGTAGGAATGTAAGAAATAGACTGTCCAATAGAGTGGAAAAGTTAGATTATATGATGTACAGATAACTGAGGATATAAAGACTTATCTTTGTATGTATGAGCAAATAGAAATGTACTATTTAGCAAGAAATTGTAGATTTATAAGATAGGGTACTACAGGAAGAAGAAAGAAAATAAACATCATGGAAGTATAGAAGAGCGGAAAACGACATAGAAATACCGCAGTAGGGAGAGGGGAGGTCTGCTGCCGATGCGGGCTCTTTTTCCTTTGTTTTTAAATATTTGTAGTTGGTGTGCTATGTTAGTCTATTGATGTTAGTTTGGGATGTCCATTGGTGTGTTTATGCATGTCAATGTCTGTCGTTCTTGTCTTGTCCCTTCTTTTTTACTATTGTAATAATAAAATTCAATAATAATAATAAAAAAACAATCTTGATGGTTCATAGGGGAGAATCCGTTCGGCCAGGTAAACTGGGCCAGAGTCGTTTAGTTACTTATGTCCCAGCATGGAATGCTTGCCATATATATGTTGTGCTCCGCCCTAAGTGCCCTTCAGGGTGAGAAGGGCGGAATATAAATGTTTCAATTAAATAAATAATAAATATAGCAATTTCAAATCAGGTCCATCTTTTTGAAACACTCTATTATTTTCTGCTTTTTTGGATGGCCTAAAGCTAGAAGCTAGCTGGGCTTTTTCTGTTCTGTTTTTGTTTTGTGTGCAACACTTTAACCCTTATAGATATATACAGAATAATTTTCAACAACAGTATTAAAGTAGCGATTTTTAAATATAGGGAAGAAAGAATAAAGAACCTAATAGATGGGAAAGAAGCTCTTAAAGTTGCTTGCACCAAAGAAGAGGCAAAAACTGCACAACTAGCACTAAAAATCCAATTGTTTTCTGCAACAGACAATAATGCAGCATCCATGGTAAGCTACAATATATGAATAGTCTTTATCATAATGACATCACTTGCATGGGGATATGCTGCTTGGGGAAATCGCACAAATACATCCTCTCAGAAATTGAATACAGAAATGATGCTGTAGCGAGTAGATATCGAGAGATCCAAAGATGGCATCCTAAGGGGCCATGGTAAATAAGTGGGTCTGTTCCACTTATACAAATGTTACCACTCAAAAACAATAACCATGGCACCAGGATGCTACCAAATCCAGAAGAGCTACTAAAAAGTGCAGTTCTATTGCTAAGCAATGCTCCATTCGTTTTGTTATTTAAAACATTAAGTTATACATTCATGATTTCTACTATCCGAACCTGTAAGCTAAATGTAATATTAAGCCCACACTGGACAGACTTGTTCAAATGGGTGGAAGTTGCTAGTTACAAATAACCCAAGAGGGTTGGCTTCAGTGGGCCTATTTTAGGCAATACTGATAACAGATTTCACTTTGCTTGTATTAATTCAAAATTGTACTGATTTGCCTGGTCCAATCAATGAATACTATTACTGCATTTTCATTTTTTCATCTTTTAGCAGTTTTTTAAAAAATGTTTAATTTTCTATTTAAGTTTGAAAAATGGTTACATCTATGTCTTTAGTTTATCTTACTTTAATATTTAACTGTTTTTGACCATAATGTATGTACTATAGATGCTATATAAATGTAATGCATCTTCTGATGTCCCTTACTAAGGATAAATTGCTGAATTCACTTACTAAAAAAGTAGCAGAAGTGTACAAAATTTGCTCTGGAGGAGATGAAGTGTCCAGCTTGAGCCCGTTTCAAATGCTGAAAGCGATAGAAATTCGGGTCTCAGAGCTCTGCGAAATGTTTGAAACACTTCCAAAAGAGTACCTTGAAATTGTTGAAGCCAATGAAAAACTCAGGACGAAAGAAAGAAGACAGAGGTAATTTTCTTACCAATGTGAATAACAAAGCCTGTCAAATATATATATTTATATTAACATAGGTAAAGGTTTTCCCCGATACTAAATCTGGGGGGGGGGGGGGGGGGGGGGGGAGTAAAGTTCATATCCATTTCTAAGCTGAAGAGCCGGCGTTGTCTGTAGACATCAAGGTCATGTGACCAGCATGGCTGCATGGAGCACCATTACCTTCCCGCTGAAGCGGTATCTATTGATCTACTCACATTTGCTTGATTTACTCACATTTGCATGCAAGCAGATTAATCCAGGGAGCTCACCCCGGTCCCTGGATTCAAACTAGCAACCTTTCGGTCAGCAAGTTCAGCAGCTCAGTGGTTTCACCCACTGTGCTACTAAGTGGCACATACTGTATGTGATGTATTAATGTTTTCCTCTAACAGAATACAAATACTCTTTCAGTTATTAAAATATTTGTTTCTTTAATCCATGAAGAATCCGTGAAGATAAACGGAAAGAATTGAAAAGGATTCAGGATGAGAGGTTGAAACATGCTCTTGAAAGAGCAATTGCGGCACCAAAGAAAAGGGTGAGTAATGGTTTTCAGGTGTTTTCTTTTACATTCCTTGAACAGTTCACACCTAACAGCAAACATATTTTTATGTAGAGTAACAGACAGTCTCCGAGTTACAAATATCTGACTTACAAGTGACTTGATTAAGAACGGGGGTGAGACAACAGCAAGTGAAAGAAATCTACCCCTCGAAAGGGAAATTCAGTCCTGAAAGTTATCATGGGGGAAAAAGTGTTTCCACAAGCCAAAATTTTCAAAATCCAGTTATCACAGGGGCTCAGATAGCAAAACAAACACCACAGAGGTGTTGTCCCTTCTTTATGCTATACAAAGCTAAAACCATATATATTTTGGGCTGGAGTTAAACTTAAAAATTGTATTTGTTCCAACTTTCATACAAATTCAACTTCAGAACAAACCTACAGAACCTATCTTGTTCATAACTTGGGGACTGCCTGCATATAAATCATTTTAATTGTAATGTAATACCAGACTATGCAGTTGTTTCCATAATCACAGCCAATGCTGCCTACTAATGGCCAAAATAATTGGTGTTCAGTGTGTTGGCTTCAAGACAGTATAAGAGAAGCCATGTATCATGCTAAAATAACTAACAAAATACTTCAGCATTGTTGTTGTGTACCTTCAAGCCATCCTGAGTTATGGTGGCCCCAAGGCTAACCTTTGTGGATTTCCTTGGAGATATGTGTTCAAATTCTTCTAAGGCTGAGAGAATGTGACTTACCCAAAGTCACCCAATAGGTTTCCATGGCAGAATAAGGATTGGAAATCACAGCCCAATACTCAAAACTACTACACCACATTGGGTCTCCATGGGCAGAAATATATACAGTAATTATGTGCATAAATACAGTATATACTGCATTTCACCACATAATAGTTGCACTTTCTCCACTTTCTCCCTTTGAAAAAGGGGTGTGTGATTTATGTGGGAAATGGAAAAAACAGCCAACCTTTTGGGATCTCAAAAAAAAGGTGACTATTATGCCATGGTGACTATTATTAGATTAAATACAGTAATTATCGAAAATACGAGAGTTGGAACTATAATAGTGGCAACTATTTATTTACATATAATACAAAAGTGATACATGCTATAAAGGCAACGCGTATGGCCAAACAACAGCTGGACAGGGGGTAAAGCAGATCCCACCAACTGTCCCTCCAATATAAAGAATTTACACCACTGGCACCTATATAACGTTTGAGGAGATGTCTCTAATTAATTAACTTCCGCTGCCACCATGAATAAATGTACAGGAACACTCTAGCTGTTTAAACTATTAAAAAGGCTTTTAAGATCACCAAGCACTGTGTCTTCTTATTTTCTTCTTCAAGGGGAAACAGTTGAGGTTGTTAAATAAGGAAAAGGGACTATAGCCACAAATGGCACACTTGACTCAGGCTTTTTGAGTTTAAAATAAACAAGGAAAGTTTATTGATATAAATACAGAAGAAAGTAGATGCTGGTTAAAATCTTGGTGGTTACAGAGAACTTCTGGCTTGTGTCTTGAAAGCTTAATGGTTACATGTAAAAGGCTCTTTCTTTGTTACAACACAGAGATTTTTGTCTCTTTAAAACCTAGTACACTTGACAGGATCTGAATCTCTGCCAAGATACAACTGTAGCTTAGCTACCCTCAACTGTGGCCTAGCTAACTACAAAACCAGCTATTTCTCCCTAAATAGCTATACCAGTTTGCTACAGCTTCTTTTGCTGGCAAACCTAAGGCAAACTGCCTACTCTTAACTAATCTCAAACACGAACTCCTAAACTGCCTTCCTACTCCTACTCTCTAACAACAACAGACTGACTGAAAAAGCCTCTTTCTTTCCCTCCAAACAGTCTAAACTCCGCCCCCCTTTACTAAACCAATCCTGGCTGTTCTAAGGCTGGCTCGGGCCTAGGCCACTCCCCCTCTCTGAAATGGTGCTTTCCCTAAACTAAAATGGCTCCTGCTGCCCTCTGCCAGGCCTTCTAAAGCTGCAACTAACTGGCCTGTTTCTCCTAGGCCCTGCCACCCAGGCTGGAAAGGTAAGGGATCTTTACACATGCCACCAAGTTTTACAGTCCTTCAATATAGTCACCAGCATTGTGTACAACCAGTTTCTAATTGTGTGGAAGTCGTAGGACACCTGTTGCAGTGCCTGTTCTGTTGATAGTTCGAATGGAGTGGCGTACTGCCGCCAGAATCTCTAGAACAGTTCTGAAGCAAATGTCACGAAGTGGTTCCTTCATCTTAGGAATTAAGTCAGTCACAAGGGCCTAAGTCTAGGGAGTATGGTGGATGGTACAGCACTTCCCAGCCCCATCAATCAAGCAAATCAGCCACCGCTTGTGCTGCATGTGGCCGAGCTTTGTCAGGCAAAATGATAGGGGCATTCTGCAGAAAGTGTTGCCGTTTTTTCCCCTCAAAGCTGGTCTGAGATGGTGTTCCAAAAATGAGCAATAATACTGCGCATTGATGGTCTGATGTGGGGGAACGGTATGCGTTAGGATGACACCATCACAGCTGTACATGAGAATCACCATAATTTTCACATTGCTGGGGTTCTGATGAAATTTCAAACTTTGTGGTGACCCATAATTACACCATTTGTTTGATTGGCGTTTCAATTCTGGCTGGTACAATCTGGTCCAAGTCTCATCCAGTGTGATGATGCGGCGTAAAAAAGACTCTCCTTCACGCTCATAGCGCTCCAAGTGGGTACAAGCAGCATCGTATCATAGCCATCAAATTATGTGGAACCCATCATGAAGCAATTTTTCTCATGCCCAGGCGCTCCTTCAAAATGTGGAGCACAGTTGTATGCGCAAATCCTGTGTTTTGGGCCAGCTCACAAATTGTATGGCCTCAATCACTGTCTACGAGTGCGGCAACAGCATTCACTTCTGCTTTGCTGACACGAGGACGACCTGGCCGATACATGTCTTCCACATTTTGGCGTCCTTCGTTGAAGGCTTTTACCCACCTTCCACTGTTCTGTAAGGCAATGCAGATTCCCCGCAAGCCTCTTGAAGACCTTGATGACACTGTCGTGCTGTACGACCTCTGGCACATTCAATCTTTATCAAACTCCGCTGTTCTTGTTTCAAAAACACCATGACAATACTTACTTTAGACTGCAACAAGGCTCAGTTCTTCGCATCACTCCGCATGCACATGATGTAGGAAGAGCGAGTCTTTTTGCTCAGAGGTAAGGTAGGCATGTAACTAACGTGTGGTATACGCGACATTCTTTGGTTTCGTTGCATGACGTCTTTACAGCAGTGTTGCCACTATTAAAGTTCCAACCCTCATAACTTCTTACATAGCAGTGTGCTTAGCTGTCTCATATGATTAACAGATATATATTTAAAATATTTTTAAATATGCATTCTTGCAAAGAAATTACTGCATTTTCTTGAAAAATGGCAAAGCGTCACAGTAGATTGAGTTTGTTGCTTTAAGCTTGAGGTATTCTATAGGAAATCAGGGACAGAACAGCATTGGAGAGAACAAACTGCTGCAGTATACAGAATGGTGTAGCAGTCAGTCAGACTCCAGACAAAATTGTCTTGTTCTTTTACGTTGACCACAGTTCCAAATGAGATTCAGGTTTTTGTGTGTATGCAAGTTTTGCTAACTTTTTATTGGTCTAAAAAATCAGACTGGAAGTGCTCTATTTGTAGTACTTTTTCTCCAAACCATTGAATAAATCCAATTTCCAAAAAAACCTCCCAAACAAACTATTAAATCAGTGGTACTTTAGCCATGATTAATTGGTCTTTCTGATATTACCTGGTTTTCTCAAAGCATGACTGAGCTTGCATTCAAATCATAATTGACAAATTTCAGACATATTCCAATTTGGGAAAGCAAGCAGAACTGTCAAAATTCTTTCCTGCAAAACAAAACCCTCAATTTATACATCCAGATACAGAGGCAGGCAATTTGATTGGCAATGCCTTCTTAAAATGCTACTTAGGGATTTCCAAGTGAACAGAAAGGCTGACCTTGGAACGAAGCACCATCAGCAAGAGCCTGCTATCTGAACATCTATTGGAAAGTAGATCCCATTGCACCCAGTGGAATGTACTTCTCAGTAGACATGCTCAAATAGAGGAGTTTTCTAAGTTTTTTAAAGAAAAAGAATAAATATTAAAATAATTTGTGTATTGAAGTTTTTTAAGTATCAAATGAATATTAAAATTTAGCAAAAAAAGAATGGTATTTTAACAAGCTATTGTTTACATTTTTTGTTCTAATTTTAGATGGGAAGAAAACTGGTGTATCGCTCAGAGCCTCCACAAACTAGCCAGGGAAAGGAAAAGGTTGAAGATTTAACTACAAAAAGTGAAGATGATTACTATTTTACATGAATTTTTGTGTGTGTTAGGAAATGGTTTCTGGAATAGATCTGGGGACATGGAAAGGGTGGCTTCCAAATATTTTGAACTACAGCTCTCATAACTCTAGACCAGTGTTTCTCAACCTTTGGTTCCTCAGATGTTTTGGCCTACAACTCCCAGAAATCCCGGCCAGTTTACCAGCTGTTAGGATTTCTGGGAGTTGAAGGCCAAAACATCTGGAGACCCACAGGTTGAGAAACACTGGTCTAGACCATGATGGCTGGGGTTTATGGGAGCTGCAGTTCAAAGTATCTACGAAGTCCCTGGTTACAGTTATTTCTAGTTTATTTTAGCAGTTGTATTAAATAAAATGTGACACAATTAATTTGATCCAGTACATTTTAAAAAACAAAACTCTTAAGACTGTGATCAAATAACTATCAAATTTAAGAACCATCAAAAGTAGCATCTTTATTTTTTATAGCAATATTCTACTTTGCCAATGGTATTTTTCCTCCAGAAATGTTGTTACCAAAACAAAAAACAAAACAAAACAAAAACTTTTATCAAAACCTTAAAAAATTGACAATGAAAGATCTTTAACTTAAAAAAAAACAATTCCAAAAATAGTTATTCTCTCATTTCCCCGTCTTCTTCTTCCTCCTCCACACCTCTTATGTAAAGGACATTATTGCATCTGAAATGAAACCAAAAGTTGTGTTATAATTCATATGGATTTTAAATTAAATTTGGGAAATTAGCTTAGATACCCCCATTATTGCATATACCAAGTTATTGTGAAGCATTGTATGTTTGATGCTGTGTTAATTATTAATAAAAATTACTGTTGTTCATAGTATATGACATATCATTTTAGTATAGTTTCCAATTCCTATCATAGCTTTATTATTCAATGTGAAAATTACTCATTCAACTGAATACAAAATGAAGAAATTATTTCATACACTTAAAAGAGCATTTATAATCAATAATGTTTTCTAACCCCAAAATATTCTCTCTAAATTCCGTTATATGTTCATGTCAATTACCTTATCAGAACTTCACCAAGGTGTCCAGACAGCGCTCCATCAATGTACTCTTCTGTATTCGCAAGCTTTAAAAAAATATATAACACAAATGTATAAGGAAGGGAAGCTATACAGAAACACATGACCCTGCAATGATAGCATTTTTAATATAAAACATCCTTAAAATCTGTACATAAATTTACATAATATGTTGCCTTTAGTTTAAATGTTGATTAAAATAGCTACTTTTCTTCTAAATTGGCTCCACAGATGAATTATGTATATTTTGACTTATTTAGTAACACTGGTGCTGTCTCTGTTGAGACTCAGCGTTTGTCTCATGCACCTACTACTAGTAGTAGAAGGAAACGTGGTTTAGAGGATGAAGAAGCTCAGCAACAGCTGAAACGGATTAGAGACTTGTTCTTAGAGACTACGGATGAGGAGGATTTTGAGGGTTTTACTCGCGAGGAAATGGAGCTGGAAGATTACAGAGGTGTAAAGAGAGTAGCCAGCAGCTCGAATAGCGATGTGGGATCTGTTGCTAAACGCCTTAGAGATATAGCTGATTGTGGGGAGTTTGACAGCGAAGAGGAAGAGCTGGACTGGACTAAAGTTCAGGAAGTAATGGATGTGATTACTGCTCCCACCTCTAGTGATGAATTCCAGGGTTTTGATAATACTTGGGTTGCAGATAATACTTTGCAGGATGGAGCCCGAAGTACTGACTGGCAACAATGGCGCAGCCGGGATTCACCTGTGGAATTAGACGCAGCTGAAAGTGACTCCAGCGACTCTGATGAGATTTAAGGAGCAGTTTGGGGACAAACTGATCGCAGAGTTCAAAGTGTCGCGTTACCGTGTGCCTTGTGTTTAACTCCTGCCGTGAGCTCTTGTTTGCAGCTTCGTGTTTCCTGATCGTGTGAACAACCCTGCCGGAACCAGACTCGTGAGTCTTCCTTGCCTTGACCCTCGGACTGCCTGACTACGCCTCTGCTAATCCCTGGAACCTTCGTTGGACCGCTCTTCATGCGGATTGCTGTTTGCTGTTTTGTTTGCCTTTGAAACGGACTGAGTTTTACTGCTGAATCCAAGTTGCCTGCTTCTGTTTAGACTTGCTTTCCTTTTGCCAGCAAAGATTGACTGAGACCAGTTTGTTTACATTCCTGCTGACCGCAAGCCTTCTGTGTTTACAACTCTGACTTTAAGAGCCTCCTTTTGTTTTGTTAATAGACATTAAAGACCTACATTTAACTCTTACAGTGCCGTTTGCTTTGCTGGTCTGCCTGGGTCTTGACAGTCTCTCTTATGGTTGAGATCAGGGCTTCTTAAACTGTGGGTCACTACTCCAAATGGGATCCCCTTGGCTCAATGTTGGGGTCTCAAAAATTTGGCAAGAATAAAAGGCTTCTGAATACCACCCATTTACAGCAATCTGTTAGCAACAGCATGCAGTGTTTACAGTAAACTCTGCAGAAGATGCTTCAGCTGCTCCCCAAAAAGCAAAATTAGCCTGTGCAACAAGCCTTGGAGCCACTGATTTATTATCAGTAAATGTTTGGTCTTTATACCTATTTTATATACCTATATATATATGGGGTCATGCAAAAAATTATTGGATGGAAAGGGGTCATTGCTGGAAAAGGTTTAAGAAACTCTGGTTTAGTACAAGTTAAAATAACTATAATAAAAATAATAATCATAAAATTTGTCTCAAAATCTAAAGACACTATTAATAGATCCTACTAATTGAAAACTATGCAATAAAAGGTAGACACAGCCTGAAAGGTGCATCTTATCTCCTGCTAGGGGCCACACATATATGCACGCACATGCACACACACACCATCCCATGAGATTTAAATCTCCATTCCTTGCCTATTAATATCTACAGATGGCCAGGAGAGGTGGTAATGAAAGTATCTCCTATCCCTCAGCATTTGCCACTGAAATTACTTGCAATTCCACTTCCATGACAAAAGTCTTGGAATTGGGATTGCTGTAGGTTGGGAAAGACTTTCACCTCTCTCACCAGATTTGTCTTAACATTACAAAGAACAATGGTAAAACAACATTCCCCCTTAACTCCTGGTAGATCACCTGAACGCAAGACAAATAGGTTGAGTGTTTCCTCCAAAATTTGCAAGCTGTTCCAAGAGCATCCAGGGACCCATTATATTAAATTAAACTGTTTCACTTTCATCCCATGTTCATGAAACCTTGTATTTGCTTTTTATTAACAAGTTGATTTTTTTAAAAAAAAATACAGAAGCCAGTAGAAATCAGATAAAATGGGAGTACTATGCAAGTAAATTCACAAATAAATTTGGCCGTCATGTTTAGTACTAGTTGAATGTTTCCAAATAACTTTTAAAGAAAACATCACGTAGAGTGTATTAAGGTAAAGGTTTCCCCTTGACATTAAGTCTAGTCATGTCAGACTCTAGGGGGTGGTGCTCATCACCATTTCTAAGTCGAAGAGCCTGCGTTGCCCACAGACACCTCCAAGATCATGTGGCAGCATGACTGTATGGAGTGCCGTTACCTTCCTGTAGAAGCAGGGGCTAACAGTGGGAGTTTACCCACTCCCCGGTTGCGAAGTGCCAACCTTTTGGTCAGCAAATTCTGATGAGGGCATGAATAACATTGACTATCTGATTTATCTAGCATGTCTAGCACATTATCAAAAACTGTGCAAAAGACTTCCTGGCCATTACTGCCATCTAAACATTTAGCATGAAAGCAGACCACAAAGGTATTCTTAAACTATGTGCCTGATATTTCAAGGGGATGTAATCCCATTACTGAAAAGAGTTAAGCTCTCTGACTGAGCAACACCTTTAAATCTTATTTACTCACATCCAAATTATTGCTGCATCTAAACAGTAAAGCACCGTAAACATTTTGTCCCTACAATATAGGATGCTTGGATACTTGTCCCTGTACTAAGAAGTTATTTCCATTGGGTTTTCTCCTGCAACCGTTTACCTGCATGTTCATGTAGCCATCAACAGACACGAGGTAGCCCTTGTATTCCATTCCCCACTTCAATTTCACCATCACTGGCTTCCCAGTCAGCCCATTTAGGAAGGGCTTTGGATTGAGAGGCAAACTCTGCATGGGACAAAGTGGAATGTAAGAAATCTGATAAATCAGAAAAAAGGCATTCTACTCACACGCTGAATACTAGATGCATAAAGAAAGCAATGCATGAGGACATCACTTGTGTTCTTTCACAGAAATATACTGCTTCTCATATGGTAATGTATGTTCCTGATCAGTTGTTAAAGCTTTATGCCTCACAATTTTCAATAGCCTCAGTTTAAAGTCAAAGCAGAACTTTAAGAACTACATTGGATCAAAAAAAAAAAAATGTAGCCCACTGTTTGAAATTACAACCTCTTATTTATTTATTTATTTATTTATTTATTTCGGGCTTTTATATCCCACCCTATCTCAACCTCAGCAGAGGGACTCAAGATGGCTAATAAATCGGCACCCCATGGCGCCCACATCAAAAACATAAATACACAATTTAACGGCAATATAATAACAATAACAGTAAAAACAGTATAAAAACAATCAATCAATCAGTCAGTGGTCACCGGTTTAAATCATCATCCAAGGGGAGTCCATCAGTTCTGTATAAGTCAACACGTCAGCAAGTCAGTCTAATCTACAAAGGCCTGATCGCATTGCCAAGATTGTACTTGTTTCCGGAAGGTCAAGAGGGATGCAGCGGATCTAATTTCACTCGGGAGGGAGTTCCATAGCCGGCGGTCACCACAGAAAAGGCCCTGCTCCTAGTCCCCGCCAGATGCGATTGTGACAATGGGGGAACAACGAGCAGGATCTCCCCAGATGATCTTCGGGCCCTAGGTGGATCGTAGCGGGAGATACGTTTGAACAAGTAAACTAGGCCAGAACCGTTCAGGGCTTTATAGGCCAAAGCCAGGATTTTGAATTGTGCTCAGATGCTGATAGGTAGCCAGTGGAGCTGGCGTAACAAGGGCGCTGTGAGCTCCCTGTACCCAGCCCCAGTGAGCAATCTGGCTGCCGAACGTTGGACTAGTTGAAGCTTCCGGGCAGTCTTCAGAGGCAACCCCATGTAGAGTGCATTGCAGTAGTCTATTTGGGATGTAACAAGAGCGTGGACCACCATGGCCAATTCAGGCTTCCCAAGGTACGGGCGCAGCTGGTGCACAAGTTTTAACTGTGCAAAAGCTCTCCTGGCCACCGCCAAAACCTGGGGTTCCAGGCTCAGCGATGAGTCCAGGATCACACCCAAGCTGCGAATCTGCGCCTTCAGGGGGAATGTAACCCTGTCAAACACAGGCTGTAACCCTACCGGCTGTTAGGAATTGAAGTCCAAAACACCAGAAGGGTCGAAGTTTGCCTGTGCCTGATCTACAGCGTGATCCAAACCTGACATTCCTCTATACACTGCGTCATCAGTTGGGGACCCCTCCCCCAAGTACCAACTGCTGCTCTGGGCCAGAGTGAAGACAGAGGGGAGTAGAAGACAGTTCCACCTTGTCTCCTGTGCTATTCTAATTTATATATATATATATATATATATAATGTAATGCAATATAATACTAATATATTATAATTATACTAGCTGTCCCCTGCCACGCATTGCTGTGGCCCAGTCTGGTGATCTGAAAAATAAAGTAATGGTTTCTAATCTATGTAATTTCTTTCTGCTTGTGAGTAAACAGTATTTCTTGTTTCTTTGTCAGTGTTGATGTGGAGAGTGTCTGGTTTGCCTACTCTGGAATATGCAACATATCATTGTCCTACTTTAGGGGTCCCTTTCAAATCTATGATATTATATTTGTGTGTGTGTGTGAATCATATATATCTATCTATATCTATGGCTGAATGGCTCTTTGTCAAGAGGGCTTTGATTACGTTTTCTTGCCCTGGTGAAAGGAATTGGACTAGATGGCCTTATGTATTTTCTGTTGGTCATGGGGGTTCTGTGTGGGAAATTTCCCCCAATTCTGTCATTTTTATTTTATTAGTAAAGGTAAAGGTTTTCCCTGACATTAAATCTGGGGACTCTGTGTCTGACTCTGGGGTGGTGGTGCTCATCTCCATTTTTAAGCTGAAGAACCACTGTTCACCACAGACACCTTCAAGGTCATGTGGCCATCATGACTGCATGGAGCGTTACCTATTGATCTACTCACATTTGCATGTTTTCGAACTGCTAGGTTGGCAGAAGCTAGGGCTGACAGCGGAAGCTCACGCCGCTCCCCGGAATCGAACCTGCGACCTTTCGATCAACAAACTCAGCAGCTCAGTGCTTTAACCCACTGCGCCACCGGGGGCTTTGATTGTAGGTGAACTATAAATCCCAGTAACTACAACTCCCAAATGTCAAGGATCTATTTTCCCCAAACTCCACTCAGTGTCACATTTGGGCATATTGAGTATTCGTGCCAAGTTTGGTCCAGATCCATCATTGTTTGAGTCCACAGTGCTCTCTGGATGTAGGTGAACTACAACTCCCAAACTCAAGGTCAATGCCCACCAAACCCTTCTAGTGTTTTCTTTTGGTCAGGGGAGTCCTGTGTGCCAAGTTTGGTTCAATTCCATCGTTGGTGGAGTTCAGAATGCTCTTTGATTGTAGGTGAACTATAAATCCCAGCAACTACAACTCCCAAATGACAAAATCATAATTTTTTGATTGATGGTCACTCCTTGTATGTGAGACGTTTTGTTGCCAAATTTGGTGTGATTTCGTTCATTGGTTCTTTTGTTTTTAAGGTACTCATTATGCACATAGCATTTTATATATATAGAAGTTATACATATAATATTTATAATATTATAATGCATTGCAATATAATACTAATATGATATTATAATTATATATTTATATTACTAATAATATTACAATATAATGGTATAGTACAATATAGCAATATTTAATACTGATATTGTACTGTGCTATTAATATCATATATTGTATGTATGTATGTGTGTGTGTGTATATATATATATATATCTTGTAAGCCGCTCTGAGTCCCCTTCGGGGTGAGAAGAGAGGCATATAAATGTCGTAAATAAATAAAAAATAAATACTACAACTCCCATCACCCACTGCTCCCTGCCATGAGGATAAGGGGCCTTGTAGTCCAATGTATTCGAGGGAGACAAGCAGGTGCACGCTTGTATCCAAGGGCTGGCTTCCCAGCCCACTATATCCGAGGCTGTGGGGCCTCCCAGCCGCCCTTTCCTTCCTTCCTCCCGCCTGAACCTCACTATGATCCGGCTCCCGAGGGCCTAAGGCCCGCAGCAAAGCCCCTCTTTCCTCCCAAAGACAAAGGCACTCACCATAGCAACCCGGCCAAGGAAGGGGAGGCTGCAAGCACACAAAAATTACTCTCAGGCAGCACGTGTGCCCGCCAGAGCTCTAAATGAAATACTCGGAAGTGACGTCCAGCTAGTTCCGTCTTCCTAATGACCTTTCACCCGCGCGTTTTTTCCTTCCTTCGGCTAAATCTCTCTTTCTATGGCGTTCTATCTGTTGGGGGAAAAGCCACGCTCTGATTGGCTCGTTTCGCACAATAGAGGCGGGGCTACAGCTGCCAACGTTCGATGGAAGTTTAGAGACTACGATTAGAGTAAATATCAACTGAGGCACTTCCGGGCTTTTTTTGGACTTCAACTCCCAGAAGCCTCTGCTGCTTTGGCCAATGATCAGGAATTCTGGGAGTTGAAGTCCAAAACACCTAGAGGACCAGCCTTTGGGAAACACGAATCAAGGAACATGAAAGGTACTCTGAGGATGCTTGCCATAGATGCAGGCGAAACGTCAGGAGAAAAATTGCCTCCAGAACATGGCCATATAGCCCGGAAAAACCTACAACAACCCATGAAAGGTACTGCAGACTTCTTCAGTCAGAGAACTCAGCCATGGCAGAGCACCAGATGAATCAGCCTGGGCACAGCAAATTATTTGAGAACACAGAAATGCTGGACCACTCTCACAACCACCATGTCAGACTACCAGAGAAGCCACTGAAATCCATAAGCATGTGGACAATTAAAACAGAAAGGAGGAAGCCATGAAAATGAACACAATCTGGCCACCAGTATTTTAAAAAATCTCTAAAATCAGAACAGTAAATAAAGAACAACACCAAGAAAACAGGGGAATTTATTTATTTATTTATTTACTTTATTTGTATACCGCTCTTCTCAGCCCTTAGGCGACTCAGAGCGGTTTACAACAATTTAGGTATACACAATACAAAATCATTAAGCATTTAAAAGCAATAGCATCACAAATCATTAAACATCAGTATCAATACATCACTACATCAATATAACAAATCCATCAGGCCTCATCAATGAAATCAGAATCCAACTCGTTATCCAATATTCCGTGTTCCGATAGTCAGTCAATCAATCACACTGCTTAGTCAAATGCCTGTTCAAACAGCCAGGCCTTTACTTTCCTCCGGAATGCCAGCAAGGAGGGGTCGATCTAATATCTGCAGGAAGGGCGTTCCACAGCCGAGGGCCACCACTGAGAAGGCCCTGTCTCTCGTCCCCGCCAGGCGTGCTTGTGAAGCCGGCGGGATCGAGAGCAGGGCCTCCCCAGACGATCTTAATGTCCTAACTGGTTCATAGGAGGAGATACGTTCGGACAGGTAGGTCGGGCCAGAACCGTTTAGGGCTTTAAAGGCTAAAGCCAGCACTTTGAATTGTGCCCGGTAGCAAATTGGCAGCCAGTGGAGCTGGCGCAGCAGTGGAGTGGTGTGCTCCCTGAGTGCCGCTCCTGTTAGCATCCTGGCTGCCGAATTGCAGGCAGGAAACAATCAGGATCAGCTAACATCCCAACAAATAATTCCCCCAGACAGCAACCAGCCAGGCATTGAAGCTGCAAGGCAATTCAATGCTAATCAAGGTGGCCATTTGCAACATCCACACTTGCCTCAAGCAGACAAGAGTTCTTTCTTCCACCCTGGACTGTCCACAGATATATGAACCTCACTTGCCTAGTTTCCAACAGACCTCACAACCTCTGAGGATGCCTTCCATAAATGTGGGCGAAATATCAGGAGAGAATGCTTATGGAACATGGCCATACAGCCCAGAAAATTCACAGCAATCCACTGATAGTATTCTCAATGGAAAGGGAAGCAGTTAGTATGGAACTGCCAATTATTGATCCACTGCAAAGCACCTCTATTATTATTATTATTATTATTAATCATTATTACAACCTATTACAATGCATTCTGAGCCCTGCCACATGCACAATGGAGGACCTTCTTATAGCAACACCAGAGGCACTCCAAGTGGCCAGCTACTGGTAAAAGGGCATGCAATATGGGTTGTTGCAGGCTTTTCAGGCTATATGGCCATGTTCTAGAGGCATTCTCTCCTGATGTTTCACCTGCATCTATGGCCGGCATCCTCAGAGGTTGTGAGGTCTGTTGGAAACTATGAAAACGGGGTTTATATATCTGTTGAATGTCCAGAGGTTGTGAGGATGCTTGCCATAGATGCAGGCGAAACGTCAGGAGAGAATGCCTGTCTAGAACATGGCCATATAGCCTGAAAAGCCTACAACAACCCAGTGATTCCAGCCATGAAAGCCTTCGACAAGACACGTAATATAATGCTAAGTTTTCAAACTTTGTGTTGTTGTTTTTTTTAAAAAAAATGCAATACAATTGTACCCTTGGTTCACTCCTGGTACGATAAATAAATATAACTATATTATTTTAACTTTTACCAAAAGGAAAGCTATTAAAATGATGTCAAACTGCATTAATTCTATAGTGTAGAAGCAACTTCCTCCCATCCTCACAAGACTTTACAGTGGGGAGCCTTTGACTGCATTGAAGACTCTCCATGCCATCTGTTAGAAGAAAGGCCTGAGACTCTAATAGCATCACTCCTTTTCTTTTGCATGCTTTTTAACATCTTTGTCTGATGAAGAAGCCAATGTCTCAGAATTACAATCAGAATGCTGTTAATGGTCAATGTATTGTTATTAGGTACTTGAACATTTTATTAGTATCTCTTTCCATCAGAAGTACCGGTATGTATTGGGTCCTATGTATTGCTACATTTATTTTGACCAGCAGGTGTCAGCAAATAGTTTTGGTGTGACTAATCCTATTCATATCAGGAGTGGACAGGACAACTGTTGCAGGCTGGTGACCCAAAATGACATTCTAGAGCAGGGGTCCTCAAACTTTTTAAACCGGGGGCCAGTTTACTGTCCCTCAGACCGATGGAGGGCCAGACTATAGGTTTGTTTTTTTTAAAAAAAAATCAATAAAAAAATTCCTATGCACATTGCACATATCTTATTTTGCTGTGTGGAAGGGACCTTAGAGGGGGTTCTTTCTAGCCCTCTTTAGGCAGTAATTCCAGGAGCATTTCTAGTCTGAACAAAATCTGGCTACCAGTATTTTAAAAACTCTAAAATTATAATTGTAAATAAAGAACAACACTCAAACACAGAGGAACTCCAGACAAGAAACAATCAGGGCCAGCTAATCACCTCTCAACAAAGGATTCTTCCTAAAAACTGTCAGGCTATGAAATGGCAATCAAGGTGGCCAATTGAAACATTCATACCTACCTCCAACAGACAAGAGTTCTTTCTCCCACCCTGGATCTTCCACAATTTTCCTGGTTAAGGGTTTTCCTCTGACTTGAAGTCCAGTCGTGTCTGACTCTTCGGTGTGGTGCTCATCTGCATTTCTAAGTTGAAGAGCCGGCGTTGTCCATAGACACCTCCAAGGTCATGTGGCCGCCATGACTGCATGGAGCGCTGGGGCAGCCTCCCTTGGCTGGCTCACGCTGTCCATCGGGCCTGACTGATAGCGTGAGCCTGCCAAGGGAGGAGCAGCCCCGCATGGCCGACTTGCGAGTAAAGCACCCGCGAGTAGGCCATGCGGAGCAGCTGCCCTTGGCTGGCTCACACTGCCCATTGGGCCTGACGGATAGCGTGAGCCAGCCAACAGAGGGGCATTGTGTGGGGCAGGGGCGCTCCTCCGCGGGCCGGATAAGGGCTCTTGGCAGGCTGGAAGTGGCCCGCGGGCCGTAGTTTGGGGACCCCTGTTCTAGAGGACTAAGACCCCTACTACACTGCCATATAAAATCCAGATTATCTGCTTTGAACTGGATTATATAGCAGTGCAAATCCAGCCTGAATTGGTCTGCATTACATGAGTCTACACCAGGCATGGACAAACTTCAGCCCTCCAGGTGTTGTGGACTGCAATTTCCATAATTCCTAACAGCCTACCAACCGGCTGTTAGGAATTGTAGGAATTGTAGTGCAAAACACCTGGAGGGTTGAAGTTTGCCCATTCCTGGTCTTCACTGTACATAGTATGCAGCATCAAACTGCATTATATGGCAGTGTAGATGAGGCCAAAGTGATATCTCCCTCAAAAACTACAACTGTCAGTCTTCCTTGGTTTGTGGCGGTGTTTAGTGATAGACACATGAAATAATAAAATGTCAAACTGGGAGCAAGGTGAAAGGACAAGCAGAGTAATAACCAGGAACAATGAAATGGCAGTTATTTATTTATTTATTTTTATTTACTATATTTATATACCGCCCCTCTCAGCCCAGAGGCGACTCGGAGCAGTTCACAAATTAGCAACAATTCCATGCCATATCAATTAAACAGTAAAAACAGTCAATAAATTCTATTAAATACAATAACATATAGTATAAAAATATAAAAATATATAAAAACCGTACAAAGCCTTAAAGTATTGTCATGAGTGTCTCCATGCCAAATCATTATTCCATTGCGTTGTTCCATTATTTCCTTTAGCTATGCTGTATTTGGGAAGGCCTGCTCAAAAAGCCAGGTTTTCACCTTCTTTCAAAAAGTCAGAAGGGAGGGAGCCGATCTTATATCTCTAGGCAGGGCGTTCCACAGTTGAGGGGCCACCGCTGAGAAGGCCCTGTCTCTCATCCCCGCCAGACACAACTGCGAAGAAGGCAGGAGCGAGAACAGGGCTTCCCCAGAAGATCTTAACATCCTAGAAGGTTCATAAGGGGACATACGTTCAGATAGGTAAGCCGGGTTATATTATTTCATTTGTGTACTCGCTTTGTGTATTCCTTGACATCATGTGACACTTATGAAATTTTGAAGTCTGTAAGATAATTCATGGTCAGCGCTTTCTGTGAGCCCTTCCACACAGCCGTATAATCCAGAATATCACGGCAGAAAATCCCACAATATCTGCTTTGAACTGAGCCCACACTGCCATATATTCCAGTTCTAAGCAGAAAATGTGGGATTTTATTCAGCTGTGTGAGAGGTAGTACACTCTGATCTAACTTATTTTAACCCCCATCAAAGGAGAATCTACACTGTAGAATTAATGCAGTTTGATACCACTTTAACTGCAATGGCTCAAAGCTTATGAAAACTTGGGGTGGTATTTTGATGAGACACCAACCTATGGCAGAGA